CTCGCAGAACTTCAACTCGCTGGGCATCACCTTCGGATCCATGATCTCCTTTGCCAGCTACAACAAGTACAACAACAACATCCTGCGGGACACGGTGGCGGTGAGTGCGGTGAATATGATCACCAGCCTCCTGGTGGGGATCTTTGCCTTCTCCACGCTGGGAAACCTGGCACTGGAGCAGAACACCAATGTGCGCGACGTCATCGGCGATGGGCCGGGCATGATCTTCGTGGTGTATCCCCAGGCGATGGCCAAGATGCCATATGCCCAGCTCTGGGCGGTCATGTTCTTCTTTATGCTCCTCTGCCTGGGCCTCAACTCACAGTTCGCCATCGTCGAGGTGGTGGTCACGTCCATTCAGGACGGGTTCCCGCGCTGGATCAAGCGCCATCTGGGCTACCATGAGATCGTGGTCCTGTTCGTCTGCGTCATCTCGTGCCTGTTCGGCATGCCCAACATCATCCAGGGCGGCATCTACTACTTCCAGCTGATGGACCACTATGCCGCCTCCGTGACGATCATGTTCCTGGCCTTCTGCCAGATGATCGCCATCGCCTGGTTCTACGGCACCGGAAGGCTGTCGAAAAACGTCAAGCAGATGACCGGAAAGGCGCCTTCCTTCTATCTCAAGTCCTGCTGGCTCGTCCTCGGACCCTGTCTACTCTTCGTAAGTGATTCTTGAACTTACCAAAATATTATATTATTTATATAACATCATAATATTTAATTTGATTTTTTAATATAAATACTTTTGTAAAAATTTTAAAAATATTGGATTTATATGGGTAATATTTGTTTTACATGCATTATAATTCAGTTTTTATATGGTTCTAATATAAATTAAATAATTTACATATTAATATCTTATTCCTTTCGAAAATAGTTAAATTGAATATGAAAAGAATTAAATATTATTTCAATATATAAATTTACTTGGATTTACTATCTGTTTTTATTAGCATTCTAATATTAGTATTATAATTGCAGGCCATCTGGGTCCTGAGTCTGATCAACTACCATGAGCCCACCTACCACAATGGACGCTATACATATCCGGACTGGGCGTATGGAATAGGCTGGATGTTCGCCTCCTTGTCGCTGCTCTGCATACCCGGATATGCGGTGATCAACTTCCTGCGGTCCAGTGGGGACACCTTTTGGGAAGTGAGTTGGAACTGGCCTCTGCTTAACGATATAGCTATACAAATCTTCTGACCCTTCTCCAGCGCATCCGGAACACGCTGAGGCCAAACATCTACGAGTGCAAGATCTGCGGCGAGCACCACTGCGAACACGACTTTCCGGAGCAGGAGCAGTTCATGCTGGCCCAGGAAATGGCCACCGTGTACAAGCCGACCAACAGCCACCTGCTCCATCTGGGCCAGGGCCAGAAGACCGGCTACAATGCGATGCACGCCTCCTCCTCCGCCGAGCACTCATACCACTCAAAGCCCCATGCGGAGATGGGTGGACAAAGTGGCCAATAGCTATTGCCTGGGAATCCCTTCCAGCAATAGCCATTTCTGAGTATTTTTAACGAATCATTTTTTTGTAAGTTACCGGCAGAAATTAAAGTATTTAAATAAATTGTAGTACGAGTCGATTGGATTAAAATTGTTATTTGCTTTAATTACTGAATCTATTACTGCATTAGTTCGAATATAAATTTTAAAAGGTATTTTAACTTATAAAGAATACAAAAAACCCTGAAGTTCTATGAAATTCTGTGGATTTAACATTTCAGAAACTCAAACTTTTACAGTTTTGTACCTCTTTAAGAGGTGTTTTATTTTATATATAAAACTTAATAATATCTCTAATACATGTTGAGAACAATAAACAAATATAACTGAACTGATGACATTAAAAATCAATAAGATTAAGCTACAGCTTTTGCACATATTGATAGAGTACATCGAATTCCTCCAACTTGGGCACGGCGTTAAAGGTGCTCCTAGTGCGGCAGTATTCGGCATAGATGAGCTGACTCTGGCGAGGAACGACTGGCGGACGCACGCTGAGATAGGAGTCAGTGCCGTAGTCGCTGAGCGGACGCAGCGTGATGCCCCTCATGATCTTGGCCAGCTCCTGATCCCGCTGAGCTACGGCTGTCTGGGCGGGTCTGGCGCCCCCACTGGACAGCTTGCCCATCTGGACATACTTCTTGTATATGGCCATACTCTGCTTGGAGGGCGGACTGATGGTGACCCCGTAGATTTCCTCCATCGAGGGCAGTCCGGAAGCCAGCGTAAGGGCGGCCGGCTCCGTTGATTCTGTCTGGTTGGCCTCCTTCTCCGCAAAACTAGCACTCAATTCCTCATCGCTGGAGCTGTCATCGCCCTCGCTGGAACTGGAGGAGTTGCTGTTCATGGAACCCGTGGAACTCTGTCCGGTCATCGAGGGATTCTGACGGGCCTTTCGCGAGGTCTGGATCTGCCGCTGGAATGGACTGTAGTTCGTGCGGAATGTGGGCATATATCGCAGTGCCAGTTGACTGATCTCGAAGGCGATGTGCTCGCTGAGGTCAGTCCACTTGAACGACTGGTGGTAGTTGGAGTAGGCATCGATCATTTCCAGGCCGCTGCTGTGCACACGAAACAGCTCCCTGACCAGTTTGTTGGAGTCGGCGCACGAGTGGGGCAGGCACTCGCGAACCTTGTGGCGCACCCAGTCGGTTAGTGGTTTGCTGTCCGTTCTGGGCACGAAGGTATTGTGCATGTCGTAGTCCGTCTGCAGCTCCCAGATAGGTTGACCCTCTAAGGGAAAAGGAACACTTCATTAATTTGAAGCAACCAAAGGAGTACAATACTTACGCTTAGTAAGACTGGGCTTGTAAATGCCCAAAAATAGATTAATACTATGCTGCTTTTCGGTATCGCTGAACGTATTACTGTAGTAGCGACTGAGGGTCTGCATCACATCGCTGCCCTGAGAGCCCCAGGGAGCCGTCTTCCGGTAGGTCTTGATCCTGTGCACCAGTTGCGAGCCGCCGTACTGCAGGGCCAGTGTGTCGCCGTGCTCCTCATAAAGGTTTTCCAGCATTGTCACGCAATCCGAGTCGAACTCCAGCTTGGCGGACTTGACAAAGCCCAGACGCTCCAGTTGATGACCCAAAGCGCACTTTCCAATGGCAAACTGCGCAGAATTGGTGCGATCCAGGCAGTCCACACAGTTGGTCCGCACGATCCCGGTCTGCAAGCCCGGCTCACTGCCGGCCGCCTTGAAGAACATGCCCGTCATCTGGACAATGCTTTCCGCGTGTATGGCCAGTTGGTCCATGACATTACCGCCACTCAGGCGACTCTGCCGCGCCATGTCGAAGTGGATGTGCTTCATGCGGTGGGCCGGCGGCAGGAACTGGTTGAGATAGCGAATGCTGTACTCCAGTTCCTTGGAGATGATCGACTCGTGCTTGCGCCGCTCCCGCTTCTTTACCAGATTCAGCATTATTAGCGGTGCGCCGTAGTGAAAGAGCAGGCGTTCGAAGTGGAGCGATGGCGTCTGTGCATATGGATCGCATATGTCCAGCTGAATCTGCGGTTTGGGCACCATCTTACTGATATCCTGAGACCAGTGCGACGGAATGGAGCCCCGCATCTGGGTAAACGCGCACATCCTTTGCCCATCGCTGACGATCTGCTCCGTCTCCACTTCGTTGGCCACGTCGCCTTGAAAGTTAGCTCCGCGCTTTAGGAACCGTGTGCCGGCAAAGCGGGAACTGCGTCGGGCCACCAGGCAGACGTTAACGTGCCGCCCGAAGATGCTGATGCAGGATTGACTGACAAAGCCATGTGTGACCTCCAGCAGCCAGTCCTTCAGCATGATGCCCTCCATGGGCTGCAGCAGGTAGGCGTTCCACACGAAACGCTTGCGTGAATCGCTACGAAAGGCGTAATCCACCCGCTCGTGGGCCTTGGCCACGTTGTTGGTCAGTGAGTTCCAGTCCGGAAGAGGTTCATCCCTATCCAAGTCCACCTTGGCGCCCACGAAGCGAGGAGCCGACTCATTGTACTGCAGCGTACGTGTCAGATCATAAGAGTAGGAGAAATAGAAGTTGCTGCGCAGATCGATGTTCTGGAACATCCGCTTGTAGCGATCCTCATGCGGATGCGGTGGTCGCTGGGAGGTCACCTCGTTCACGCGCACCATCACCGTGTCCTTGATGGTGTAGACCAGGTGGCGGCCGATGTGGGCACAGCACTTGCGCTTCGTCACCAGCAGCAAGTAGTAGCCCTCGAGGAAGCGCACGAATCCCAGGACTCCGTAGGCGGATGTCACCTTGGGTGAACCTGTGAGGGAGGCCACAAAGCGCCGGATCTCCAGGCTGTTGAATTCGTTGGCATTCTCCTCGATGCTCAGTCGGTTGTGGGCCAATCGGTCTATGGTGAGCAGACGGAATCGGGTCTCCCGGTTGTTGCTGCCCACCAAATAAAGTCGCTGCAATCCACAAAATTAGTCAGGGGAAAGCTCTGCTGGCGGGGATTACTCACCGCTCGCGTCTCGTAGAGCACAACCTTCTGGATGCAGCTGATCAGGGGATTGAATACTATATTCGGGTTATCATTGCTCATCTTAGTTGGCTTTTCCGTTGCTTTGTTTGGCTAGAATTCCGTAGGCCGCTCCCACACAAACATTCATCAGCTGACCAACTGGCATTAGAGATGGGAGCAACCGCTAGTGATGACAACGTGAGAGCGGACATTTGTTTCATACTTGAATGATAGACAAATTTGAACTTTTATTTTATTTATCAGAACTTCTTTTTATTGAAAATATTTTGATACGAGGAAATAGTTTTGCCTTTGATTTAAAAACTATGTAAATATTATACATAATAAAACCAGTTGTTTTAATCCCGTTTAAAAAACTTATAAATCTTTATATAGATCTTTGGTAAGACAAAAATTTGGCAGCTTGAGACTTTTTTTTATAAGTGTAAGTGACCTTTCAAGTAAACTTGGAACCATAAGCTTATATGTCATATATCAAACATAGGTACATATTTAAGAAACATATATTTTCAAAAAACTCTTTCTAGTCCTATAATTACACCTAAGAATTCAAAACGTTGAATTTTAAATAGTAATATAAAGTTAATTTATAAAAAATTATGATCTTTAAAAGACACTTTGGACCATTTTAAGCTAACATTTATTCATGACGCCGAAGAATGTGTCTTCCAAGAGTTTTTCTTTGTTTAAAGGCACTAGGACAATGGGGGCATTGGAAGGACCTTTCTTTACTGTGCACGAGCTTGTGTTCTCTTAGGATGGTCCCGAGACGAAAGGACTTGGAGCACTGGGAACACTTAAACGGACGTTCGCCCGAGTGAATGCGAATGTGTTCCTTGAGATGCTGCTTTAAGCTGAAGGCAGTTGAACAGTGGGGACACTTATAGGGTCGTTCACCCGTGTGAGATCGAAAATGGTTCTTGAGGTGAAATTTTCTGGTAAAGGTTTTCGAGCACTTCGAGCACTTGTGGGGCCGTTCCCCTATATGTGTGCGAAAGTGTCGTTGAAGATCTGAGGATTTAATAAAGTTCTTGCCGCACTGGGAACACTTGAAGGGGCGTTCGCCAGTGTGAGTCCTTTCGTGCGATTGCAGAGTGGACTGCTGCGCAAAGGACTTTGAGCAGTGGGAACACTCGTAGGGTTTTTCTGCGTTGTGGCTTTTAATGTGCGCATCCAGAGAGGCCTTTAAATTAAAGTTCTTTGAACAGTAATGGCAAGGAAATGACTGCCCATCCAAATGGGTTCTCATGTGGCTTATCCAGGCGCCCCTTCGCTGGTATCTCTTCGAGCACTCTCGACATTCAAATGTAACATCCTTAGTGTCGACTTTCATATTAGGTTTAACACTATCGTCATCGATGTCATCATTATCATCATCATCATTATCATCATCATCATTATCATCCCCGTCCTCGTCTTCGGTGGCAGCTTCATTCCAGTTGTCTTCATCTGCCGAAAACTCCCAATCCTCTTCTTCGAGCAACGCGCATAGGGCCTCCTCAATACCTTCATCACGGACCTGGCAGTAGAACTGGTGGCTCCTCTCGCAGGTTTGCCGTAAAGCAAATGCATTCTTGGCATCCTCCAAGCACGCCGGACAGATGGTTTCCGGAAAGCGATCTCCTCGTCTGACTTCAAAGTCGGTACATAGCTCGATCATCTCGGCGATTGAAACTCTGGTCTTTCGTCTGGCATCAAATATGTTCACCAAGCCCTCGGATCTTCCCAGGCAAACACGACAGATTGGCTCCATGTCTCCTACTGAGCGTATTGATAAGTAATCGAAACAAATCACAGAAGTATTCTTACATCTCCGCTCTTCTGTTGTTTTGTATACAAAGTGTCAAAAACCTCCTATTAAAAGATTGTTTATTTAGTGCACGTTGCACTAGTCACCCTGTGTTGTGCCCAATCGATATGTAATCGGTATCGTATTTGAATTATTTAAAAGAATTATTTATTAATATTTATTATGCGTTTATTTAGTAGTTTATTTTTAGTAATAATACGTTAAATCATTCTTGGCTTAAGACGTTAAAAAAATATAAACCAAAATTTCTTATTTACAGGCTAAAACATATAACTCTCCAGGAAAACTATACAATTTTATTTGTAATATAATAATTTGCTATATCATCGATTTGATGAACGTGCAATCGTCCCTATGTGGAAATAATTTTTTCCTTGTGGGTATGAAAGTGCTTCTTAAGACTCCACTTGGTGGCAAACAATTTTGGGCACAGGGAACACCTCAAACTCTCCTCCGTGTGAGTGCGTATGTGGCGTTTCAAATCGTTCTTATAGGCAAAAGACTTGGAGCACAGGGAGCAATCGAATCGTTCTCCGGAGTGAGCCCGCATGTGCAGGCCCAGATTGGACTGTTGCGTGAAGGTCTTGGGGCAGTAGGGACACTTGAAAGGTCTTTCTCCCGTGTGACAACGAATGTGTCTTTGAAGATTGCACTGCTGCGTGAAGGACATCGCGCATTCGGAGCATTTGTAGGGCCGCTCCCCCTTGTGAGTCCTTACATGCGACGTCAAAGAAGTCCTGTCCGAAAATCTTTTCGGGCAATGGTCACAGCTGTACGGTCGTTCGCCAGTGTGGATCCTGGTGTGTCTCTTAAGGTCGTAGGCCGTCAGAAAGGACTTCGGGCAGTGGCAGCACTTGTGCGGTCTCCTGTGGGTCAGGATGTGCTCTTTCAGAAGCGATTCTTCTGAAAAATATTTTGGGCATTGACAACAGCTGTGCGGTTGCTTCTCATGAGTCCGGCCGTGCGACTCCAGAGCAGTTTGTGTTGCAAAAACCCTCTCGCAAAGGTCGCATTTGAAGGGTTTTTTGTAAACCCGACTATTTTTCTTTAAATCTGATGGAGAAAAACAAGACTCTGGGACTTTTGGCTGCTCAACTGTCATCGTGCACATCTCTTCCTCAAATAGGTCATCTTCAATTGGCTCGTTTTTCACTTGGCAGGTTGGTGGATCAATAATACGGGACGATTCTTTGATCAACTCATCGTCGATTTGCTCGTTCTTTATTTCAACATTATACGGCTGGATCCTGTCCATAATTGACTCCTCCCATTTGGTATTTTCTATTTTCACTTGGACATGGGTTTGCTCGTCACCATTTGATTCATCCCTCTCGCAGTCTTGTATTTTGCAAACTTCCTCCTCCAGTAATTCATCCTCAAGGACTTCCTTCTTCACCGGGTAGTCTGAAATTTCATGGACTTCATCTGGTAGAAGCTTTTCCTCGTCGTGGAATTCTGTGATTTCGAAGACTTCTTTTCCAATATGGAGCGGATCATTGCCCTCACAGGCTTGACTTATCCCAAAGGAATTCCGCGCATTTTCCAGGCACATAAAGCAAATGGTTTCAGGAAGTGAATCTCCTCGTCTAATTTCTAAGCCAGTTAAGTTGGAAACCACATCCACAATACAAAATCCCACTTCTGCCGTTCCATCGAAAATGTTTATCATGGATCTTCGTCTAAGACTGCAAATCCGACACACTGTCATCTTGCCTTAAATTTTGTTAATAAAACTACATCCGTAATTTAAAAAAAAAAAAAAATCAAAAATCACCTATTGTTTTGTTTACAATTTTAACAGCTGAGAAAAGCCAGAAGTGCACTAGTCGCCCTGTGATAAGCTCAAATAGCTGTTAAGCTAAGTGTAATCGATATTCATATTTTACAGGTTTCAAATACCTTATTTTTTATTCGACTTTTCGCTCAAGCTAATTAAGTTACTTGTAAGGTTAAAACTTATAAACTTCTTATGTACCTTGGTAATTTTTTACTTACTCAAAAGTACAAAATCGTGGTTTCCCTTTAATGCCAATGTAATGGGAAACCAAATCCTCTTCTGGCGTTTCATCGAATATGTTTATCAAGTATCTTCATTGTCTAAAAACTGCATATATAAAACTTAACAAAAATAGTAAAATAGTCTAATAATGATATTTATAACAGTGGCAAAAGTGCACTGCTACCCTGTGTTTAGTGCTGTTAATCGCATAAACAAACTGTTATTTATTTCGATACATTAGACCAATCGATTTTGGAGTTCATTTATATGTGCAAAGGAATCTATAAAATAAATGGCCTCCAATCCGAATCCTCGTCTAGAGAATTCCGTCCTACGCAGCAAAATTCGGGAATATGCTCGAGACCAGCGTCAAGAGTGCCGCATAAAGGCAAAGGACTCGTTGCGTATCGGTTTAGGACAGGTTAAGAAGGAAGTGGCTGCATTAGAAAGCCTGGACACCAAGGACGTTCTTGGACTGGCCGGTAGGATTAAGCGACGCAAGCATGCCACCTCCGAGGATCTGTGCCGCCTTTCCCTGGCCTTTCTGCAGGGCAACGACAACATCAACGCGTTTGCTGCCATTCCTGGTGCCATTCAGGTCCTGGTTAAAGAACTAACCGGTATGCATTTGATCCCTTTGAATTTATATTGCTTACTTATGAAAGAATGTTTATAGGACCCCACATTCAGCGGCAGATCGATGCCGTCGAGTGCCTGTGTAATCTTTCTCTTGGCGATGCCCATGTCTCCGAGAAGATCGCCAGTTTGGCGGGAAGCTACATGGTCACGTATTTGGATGGCAAGGAGGAGCGCCTTAAGCGCAGCTGCCTGTGGACTCTGGCCAACATTCTGGCCACCTGTGACAAGGCTGGCAGGATATTGCTTCAAATGCAACTTGTGCCCAAATGTTGGAGACTTTACAGCGATCCCAATGGTTGCCAAGAGGACGCAGGCATATGTCTCTTCCTGGTGGCTACCCATTGCCTGCACCATGTGAGCGCCGAAGATCGTAGCTACATTGCAAAAAATTTGCACGATGTAAACCCCAAGGATTCCGGCAGCGAGTACTTTATGTACATTATCCACCAACTGGACATTGTTGGACAGGATCATGAACTAGGTGTTCCACAAGCCGAATGCCTGTTGCACTTCTTTGAGAACACCCTATCCTCTCCAGTAGAAAGTTTTTACATTATTTACGGAGTGCGTGTAATGGCCAATCTGGTGGCCATGGGTAACCCAAAACTAATAGGGAGACTGGCAGACCCGCAGAATTTTATAAAAGCCCTAAATCAGCTTTTCGCTTTGCGAGACTCCCAACTCAACATGGACTTGATGCGGTTGCTCAGGAATTTCCTGCAATTAAACATCTTGGACTCCAACCTGCTATTAGATAACTTGCAAATATACGCATAGGATACGATTAAGGACAAGTCTTGCAAATCTCTTTATTGGTCTGAATATACCTATAGAATTCAAGCCACTGGCTTTGAGTCTTTGTAAATGTGAAACAAACATGTTTACGGTTATGCTGGTAAAAAACAAAATAAAATAAATTAGTTTACATAATCAACAAAAAAAATGTGACAAAAACAGAGACGCTAAGTGGCGGACGAGATTATAAAGTCGAAGAACATATACAGCCACAATGCATCAAAATAGTTTTTTGGTAAACTTAGATGTCATCTTCGAAGAGGGCGATTATGTGACGCCGCTTGGCTTCGTCGTCAGCGTTCAGTTCGTTGCCCCTGTGGGCATTGTGATTGTGGTTCTCCAGGTCGGAGACCGAGTCAAATACTAAATTGCAGTGCCCGCAACGCGCTGAGAATATGGGGGCTTGTCCCTGGGAGTTGACCGTGCCGGGAGAGACTACAGCCCGTTGCAGTTTCTCCAGGAACGTAGCCCGCTCCTTGTGCTTGTCCAATCCAATTCCCAAGCCCAGCGATGGGCCTGCGGCCACTCCGCGAATGGGAATGGGTTTCTTCACCGTGGGTGTGCACTGCGAGTTGCGGCTCTCTGAGCGCGCAATGGCGTACAACAGATTATTCTCCTCTGTGATCGGAGTTGTCGTACCGCTCACAAAGTCAAACAAGGCAAAGGACTGTTCCTCCACCGGACGGGTTTCGGGAATCTCTGCGGGAATTGTCGCCTCAGCCGTCTTCTCGCCATTGGAGACCTTAACCTGGTTAAGCTTCTCGGCTAGAAGCGAGTCTATGGAATGTTCCTGCAGCCAGGTGCAGGTTTTGTGCAGGGCGAATATCATGCGGCGGATAAACTCGTGAGGTGAAACCATCTTTTGCCGTCTAATCTCCAGCAGTTTGGTCACCTCGGCGACAAAAGTGACGAACTGGTACTCGACGCAGTTGTCCAGATGTGACTGCTGCGAGTCCTCGAACATGAAGCGCTTGGAGCAGGCCGGACACTTGCGCTCCTTCCACATGGGCTCCGGTATGTTTACCTTGATGTCACGCAGTTGCAGCTGGTCCTGCTCCATGGGATCGTCCTCCTCGAAATTGGTCTCGCTGTAGTTGTAGCAGTTCTTGTGCTTGCGCAGCAGGGCGGCCTCCTCGTTGTCGTCACTGGAACTGGCCACCGCATAGTCATCATCCTCGTTCTCGTTTTGTCCACTGCCCGTGGGCAGTTCCGCATCTTGGGAATGTCTTGGCAAGGTATTGTGATGGTGCTGCTGCTTGTTGAACAGCACGTTGAGGTACTGGATCCTCTGCTCAGAACTGCCGTCCAGTTGGGGAGCCGTCTGGTTTAGCAGCCTTTTGTGCACCTTGTCCTTGGAGGCATCCACCTTGGAGCTATTATTCAGCAGCAGATTGTGCACGGGTCGCTGCTCCACATAGCGCAGATCCTCTGCCGTGAAGAGGGCACTCTCCTTGTCCATCTTGTTCGCATCAGAGATGTTGACCCTCTTCTGCTGGTAGAGCTCGGCCAGCTTCAGACTGAGGGCATTTTTGATGCACTGCTCCCGGAATGTGACGGCGTGCTTAAGATACGAGACGCATGGAGCACATATGTGGCGCGGCAGGCCGTCATCCGCCGAATTCTACGTGAAGTGGGAGAACTGTATATATTGATACCAGACAAGGAAAACACTCACTTTCAGGCCTGTCGTCTCCTCGAGCATTATGTTTATAGGCTTCTGCCAGTTAAGGAACTCGTTTGTGGAGCCGTGCAAGTAAATGGGAATCTTGGCAAAAATCTCATACTCTGCGGGGCTGCTGCAGATGCGGCAGATATTGCCCCACGTCGTCATACTAATTTTAAACTTTAAACTTAATGCTAATGACGGAAAAAACAAATAATTACAATTTTTGACGCCGGCAAGTGTGGCTCTTCCGAAGAAGGTGCAAAATTCCACAGTCCACCCTTGTTAACAATAGAGTTGCTTGGCCAGCTATTCGATAGCTACATTTTATAAGTAAAGTTTAGCTTAAGTTTCTTTAGTTAAAGAAAAACATATTGTTCTAAGAAGAAAAAAAGTATAAATTAAACAAATTAATAAATATATATATTTTCACATATGTATATTTTTCAAATTAAAGAACCATAAAGAAGAAGCTATTAAACTTAGCTATTATTTCTTAAAGACGAGTTAGCAGCGCTAGCTAACAGTTCTTGTTGATTTTAAGCTCCACTTGAGCTGGCCACACTTGACTTTATATTTTGGGAATTGCATAAACAAACCTCGTTATTAGAATAAAACCTATAAAATGTCGTTTAACATAATGCAAAAGCTCACACTTCAGTGCCTGAAGCCGGATCAGCCACTAATGAGTAAGAATTTGTCCTCAATGGGTGATAGAATCTAATGGCTTTCGATTCTAGCCACTGTGCGCAATGCCAGTAAGAAAACCGGCGGCAGTACTCGGAACAAGAAGGGTCATGCCCGGCCAAAACATCGAGGATGGCGCGTCCAGGATGGACACCATGTCTCCGAGGGCACCATATTGGCCACCCAGCTCACCACGCGCTTCCATCCGGGACTGAATGTGAGTCGCGTATGGAGAAATTGGATATGTTCTAATTTTCCTTTCTATAATATTCATGTTAGGTGGGCTTTGGTCGCAATGGAACCCTTTTCGCCATGGAGCACGGCAAGGTTTATGTGACCTGCGAGCCGATCGATCCCAACTGGGATCACACCTGGATCCAGCGCAACTACGCCGGTCGCCAGGACCAAACCATATATAAGAAGTTTTTTAATGTTATACCCGAAAATCAGCATCAGCGATTTCGGCTAGTTGAGGAGATCTAAGTTGTTAAATATTAAATCATATCTATTTTGAAATCGAACAAAATGTAGTGGAGTTATAAACCATGTTTTCGAATGCTTAACAGCACGACAATTTAGTAATGTTTTCAACCATTTCACGTCTGGTTATGCGGTTATGACACCAATTTTCATTTGGGACATCTTTATATTCTTGATCAGCATCAAATAATTTCAGAATTACGGTTTAAATTCTACCAAAATCGGAAGACTATATCACATAGCTCCCATGAAAACAATAAAAATTTAAATAAACATTTTTTATTTTTAAATGTAAGTTTTCTATTTTGTAATTTTTTTAAAAATTCTTTTTGATTTATTAATAATTTGACAGCTCAGAATTATGAAAACGATATCTTATAGCTGGCATGGGAACTATCGAATAATTGAGTTGCAAGACATCATAGCTTCTATGCTTTTAAACATATTTATCATAATATTAATTGTTAGCCGGCTCGAGGTCAGGATGTTGTTATTTCAATTTTGGTCAATGTATTTCGGTTGCTCTTCGGCAACCGTCTTCAGGACAAATTTAATTTACACGTCTGCGTCCGGTGACGTGGAGTTGTTAACTGTTGAAAAAACACAAAATTATTTCAATTTTGGTTATTTGTCAATATATTTCGGTTGCTCTTCGGCAACCGTCTTCAGAACAAATTTAATTTACACATCTGCGTCCGGTGACGTGGAGTTGTTATTTTGGTTATTTGTGTAAATTAAATTTGTCAATTTGTAAATTTATATATTTCTTAACGCTTAAAAAATCGTTAGAATTATAAATTTATAAGTTATCAAATCAATGTGCTGAACGCACCCAATAATTAGCTATGATTTGTAAAGTGGTTTGAACCTGCACTAATGTCATATTTAGGTACATTTGTGAGTTTCAGCTGGGGTCACACTGGCTGAAGCGCAGCCAACTTCGCTTCTTTCTTTCCAAAAATTTTAAAGATGGTGAGTGGACGTCGGTAAATGTGGTGCACTTAAAATGTGGTTTGTGGGCAGGTAAACGATGCAAGATGAAAGAAAAAGTTAACTAAAGGTGGCCCAGTTCGCCTGCCCACCGACTGCAATGAGAAAGTGAGCAAAAACGGCTGGAGCGAATGCCGCACGTAAACATAACCTCCAGCACGTGTGTGCAGAAATGGTAAATGAAAACACGTTTCTGTTCTGTTTTGCAGTCGAATATCAAGCGGAAGAAGACCAGGAAGCTGCGTGGTCATGTGAGCCACGGTCACGGCCGTATCGGCAAGCACCGCAAGCATCCCGGAGGTCGCGGTAACGCTGGTGGCATGCACCACCACCGTATCAACTTCGACAAATACCATCCTGGTTACTTCGGCAAGGTCGGCATGAGGAACTTCCATCTGCGCCGCCAGCACAAGTTCAGGCCCGAGATCAACCTGGACAAGCTCTGGTCCCTCGTCGGAGCCGAGAAGTTCGCCGAGTTGGAGAAGGAGAAGAGCACCAAGGCTCCCGTCATCGACTTGGTTAAATTCGTAAGTGTTTTACTGGATTTGGCACCCCGTTTTGTGCTGCTGCTGCTTTGAATATGAAGAGACACCCAAGGCGATGGGCGGACAGAATGCGACCGTACAATTGCTCTCCCCGTGTAGAGAAAAGCCTTTCAGATCAAAGTCAGCCAGCAGAAACATTGGATGCAGTGCTTTCCCCCTCCTGTGACCCATAATTAAAACAAATTTCATCCCACAGGGCTACTACAAGCTGCTGGGCCGTGGTCATCTGCCCGCCCGCCCCGTCATCGTGAAGGCCAAGTACTTCTCCAAGAAGGCTGAGGATAAGATCAAGAAGGCCGGTGGTGTGTGCTTGCTGAGCGCCTAAGTTAAGGTAAGATTGTGTTCTAAGCAGGATTGTTTTTCGTTATCTAAAATAAAAGTTTTACCTTTTTAAATGCCTAATTGCTTGTGTTTCTCTTGCAGATTCCTCTTCTACAGAAAAAAGGCACGTGGACTACATTTGACCATCAAAAATGTATTTGTTTTTTAATAAATTTAAAAGAAAAACAAGTATCTGCTATTCCTAAAAAATTTTCTGTTTACTGAAGGCTTTTGGGCGTGATTTGTTTTATTTTTTTACTGAATATTAAGCAGATACCTTAATAACAAACAAATCACTAGCTAATTATAATTAAGGAAAAATACATGGAAAATGCCCTGAAAAAAGGAATTTGGAGATCTGGAATCTTGAAATATATAATTACTACATTTCCAATTAAACCAGTAGAACTTCAGGATACTGTAGTAAACATATTGCAGATTTTAGCTACAAAAACAAAGTTACTGTAGTATGTTTACCCACTATTGGAAATAGTATGATTGGAGTCGATTTGAAGATGATGATTTTATTATTACCACAAGTTATATTGTCTATCCTCTAGTTTGTAGAGAACTGAAAATTCAAAAAGGGTATGAACTCGTCGGTGAAAGTCTATGGGGCTACAATGAGCGCATTCCTTTTTTAGCACGATTTTTACAGCTTACTTTTTTTGCCTAACCAACGGCGGTCACATTCGCAACCAGAAAGCTCGCGGAAAAATTCGGAAGCGGAAAAATACTATTCGCAACGATTACAACAGGCGGAAGAATATTACGTGTAGGTCAAGGCCGAATGTTTACAGTCAACCCTTATCGGTGACCTGGCTTTGGGGGATGCGACGACCTTGGGTCAAGGACATGACCGAACAAGAGGCAATGAAAACAGGAAGTGGGAGGATGCCACTGTGGGCGGGGGAGGTTCCAGCTCAAATGGTAACTAATTATGACCTCTGTGTTACAGCCGCGACCTTGCCCACCTATTCTGCACTATTACATAACTGAGAGGGAATCCACTGCGCTGCGATGGCCAACAAAGTACTGCGCAAGGTGACGCACTGCATCTTCGACATGGATGGATTGCTGCTGGGTGAGTGTTCGCCTGCCTCAGCCTGCCTTATATGTTAACTGTTTGCCGAACAGACACCGAACGACTCTATACGGTGGCCACGGAAATGATCCTCGAGCCCTACGGCAAGGCCTATCCATTCGAGGTGAAGGAACGTGTCATGGGCCTCCAGACGGAGCCGCTTTCCAGGTTCATGGTCGAGCACTTCGAGCTGCCCATTTCGTGGGAGGAGTACGCCCGGCAGCAGCGAGCCAACGCAGAGAAACTGATGCGGAACGCCCAGTTGATGCCAGGTACTAATCCCCGTTCTCGCTTTGCCGTCACGTTTCAGACACGGAGCGGATATACGAGGAGGTCACCCGGCAAATAGCCGCCTCCTTCGGCCGCCCCTATCCGGAGGCGGTGCGATTCCGGGTCATGGGCACCACGGAGCAGCGCTCGGCGGAGATAGCCATCACCGAGTGCCAGTTGCCCATCTCGCGGACAGACTTCCTCAAGCGATACACGAAGATGTGCCACGAGCGGCTCCACAATGTTCCCCTGCTGGAAGGTTAGCACTACGACACCAGAACATAAAAGAGGCTTTTTTCCCTATAAATACTACCGCATTTCCTATCATATTTTATTGTACTACCCAAATCAAGTTATTAATCGAATATTTCCGACCATTTTAGGTGCTGAGCGGCTGCTGCGTCACCTGCACGCCAGCAAGGTGCCATTTTGTCTGGCCACCAGTTCCGGTGCCGACATGGTCGAGCTGAAGACCAACCAGCATCGGGAGCTGTTCGGCCTGTTCGACCACAAGGTGTGCGGCTCTACGGACAAGGAGGTGGCCAACGGGAAGCCTGCTCCGGATATTTTCCTGGTGGCCGCCTCCAGGTTTGGAGTGCCACCGGCAGCCGCCGACTGTCTGGTCTTCGAGGACTCTCCAAATGGCGTGACGGCAGCGAATAGTGCCGGAATGCAGGTGGTCATGGTGCCGGATCCACGGCTGTCCGAGGAGAAAACCTCCCATGCCACACAGGTCCTGGGGTCCCTGGCGGACTTCAAGCCAGAGCAGTTCGGACTGCCCCCATTCAGGGAATAAAATTGAGCTTAATTTTTTGTAGCCTGGCGACGCTATAATTGGAATTTGATGTACCTACCAAGCAAACGTTGTTAAGATTAATGTGTTACTTAATATACACGTATTTGTGCATATAGTCTTTGGTTTATTGCTTCAATTTAGATTAGTTCTATTGCTAGTTTCCAACTGCCTCCAGGTTTTTGTGTATGTCGGGAGCTTCCTGGTTGGCCAGGGAAAGAGAAACCTCCTTGCCGTTGTCTGGTGGAGAATACAATGAAGATAGGTAGCGTATATTTATTGATCTACTCACCATATCGGGCATAAAGTCGGGGCTTGACGCCGGAGCATTCGCGCACCAGGATCGGCAGGTCGGGATTGTTTTTCTTCAGATTCGGATAGAATCTTTGGACGAACTCCCTGAAAAGCAATATTGTTGGGGGTAAATTATATAATTAAAATGGGGTAAACGGCGATTTATTACCTGGCTCCCTTGGAAGCATCTCCGCTTCCAAGTATGATCCGCAACTCCTTTAGTTTTGGAGTAAAGCTGGCCAACCTGGAAAGAGTAATACGCATTTTGGGCAAAACTGCTGCGGTGTTGAAATGATAAAAAATGAACTGATCGTAAATGTCGTTACTGTATAGGGTTGTCAAATATCCTTTGATTATATATTGGTATTATTGTTTTTTAAAAAAGGTTAAATAAATCGTTTCTGGATTACAACTTGTGATCTAGTAGGTGCTTTTGCTAGGAACTTGATTTCAAAAAATGTTTTTGTCATAAACCCTTTTAATTTCAAAAGGTTAAACATTCTAAAATTAATTCTTTTAATAAACTGTCCGTTTTAAACTATTTTTTAAAATTAACTAATGTTTAGCAAAGACCCCAACCTCATGAAATGCACAAAAACCATAGACTCAAACCATGGTGCTTAACTTAAATGAAACCAGGGCTGTATAAATGTAGTGCACATTACTATATCGATTAGTATCGATATTTTTCACAGATCTCAGTACTCATCTTCCATCTCTAGCTGTTTTTAGTAAACACATTGAACTATTTTTTTTCAAAAGAGTGAGTTTTATTCGAATTTTAGCAGAAATGGCGTCCGTACATTGTCAACTGTGGATGGGAAGCGTGAGTAGCAGTCTGCATTACCCAAGATACATGATCATTAAACTGCGAGAACGACCATTTCAGCTGGAGTCCTACATGACGGAGAACTTTATCATTGCCGCATTCCGGAAAATGGGCGAGGATCCTACCACGGTGCGCCTGATGCGCAACAAATACACCGGCGAACCGGCCGGCTACTGCTTCGTCAACTTCATATCCGACGACCATGCGCTGGACGCGATGCACAAGCTAAATGGTAAGACCATTCCCGGCACCAATCCCATCGTGCGATTCCGGCTCAACTCGGCCAGCAATTCGTACAAGCTGCCCGGAAACGAACGCGAATTCAGCGTTTGGGTGGGCGATCTCAGCTCGGATGTGGACGACTACCAGCTGTACAAGGTCTTCTCCAGCAAGTTCACCTCGATCAAGACGGCCAAGGTGATCCTGGACAGTCTGGGCTTCTCGAAGGGCTATGGCTTCGTGCGGTTTGGCATCGAGGATGAGCAGAAGTCGGCGCTGTACGACATGAACGGCTTTATTGGACTGGGCAGCAAGCCCATAAAGATCTGCAATGCTGTGCCCAAGCCAAAGTCTGAGTTGGGTGCTGCTTTGGGAGAGGGAAACACCAACTATGGATATGGTGGCTCCGGGAGCAGTGCATCCACTGGAGGAACGGATTATTCGCAGTATTACGACCCTACCAGCACCTACTGGCAGGGATACCAGGCCTGGCAAGGCTACTACGAGCAGGCGGGGCCCTCGATCACAGATGCGGCTGCCTACTACCAGCAGGCAATGTCGCAGTCGCACTCCAATCCGCAGACCCTCGCACAACACGCCGAAGCATGGAGTGCCCAGCGCAGCGCCCAGTATGAGCAGCAGCAGCAAATCGCCTCTGCCGCCAACGGAGCTGAAGAGGAGTACGGCCTCGTGGAGCACAAATTCGTCCTGGACACCGACAAGCTCAATCGCGAGGCCATCGATGCGGATCGCCGTCTGTACGACGCTTTGGAGAGCTCCAAGTGGCTGCCCATCGAGCAGCTGGAGGTCTTTTAGGCCACTGATCTGAAGTGTGCCTACTATAATTTAGTTAAGTTAGCATGGGAAAATAAAAAGCCTCTCTTAGCATTAATCCTTTTAGTCTATGTTAACCCTAGGCAAGTCAATTATGTTTTTACAATAATCCGCACAAATGTTGCACATGATTTGCAAAAATTTCTTTAATATAATTTGTCTTGTCTTGTTACGTTGTAACAATTCTAATTTAAATTAATAATAATCCATTTTAATAATTTAAAAACAAGAAGAGAAGAGAACAAGAGAATATCGTTACAGACGGACAAGCAGCGATAATCTCTGCCAAACATCGATAGAAACGATATCTTTAAAACATCGATTGCAGATGTTGGCTATCGATGTTTCACCACCTCTACGCTTGACCACCTCTTGTGAGAAAAAGAATAAATAATTTCGGATAAATTCGAGAATTGCTGCTGAATCATGAAGCGAGCACGCCAGCCGAAGGCCCTACAGGCCCTGCTCGATTTCGACCTGGGCGAGAGTTCTTCGGACAGCGATTTCCTTCCGGACATCGACAACTGCTCAGACGGATCAAAGGACGAGAGCGATGGCGACGCCAGCAGCGACGCGAGCAGCAGCTCTGATTCTGGGTCGGATTCGGATGCGGAAAGCGAGGACTCGACGCTGCAGCTGCGCCAGTTGCTGGCCGAAACGGAGCCACCGCCGCTGGAGAACGGCATCAACGGAGTGGACCACGGAGGAGCACCTGCCCCGGCTCGACCCTCGCTCCAGCTGTCCAGTGCTCCGGCCAAACGGATGTGCTGCGTCTGCCTGGGTGAGCGCAGCGACGACGTCAACGAGATTGTGGAGTGTGACTCCTGCGGCGTCTCGGTGCACGAGGGATGCTATGGCGTCAGTGACAACGTGAGCATCTCCAGCACCAACTCCACCTGCTCCACGGAACCGTGGTTCTGCGAGGCCTGCCGCGCCGGAGTCTCGGAGCCCGACTGCGAGCTGTGCCCCAACAAGGGCGGCATCTACAAGGAGACGGACGTGGGCAAGTGGGTGCACCTCATATGCGCCCTCTACGTGCCCGGCGTGGCCTTTGGCGAGGTGGAGCAGCTGTCCTCGGTGACGCTGTTCGAGATGCAGTACAGCAAGTGGGGCGCCAAGGTGTGCTCCCTCTGCGAGAACGCCCTGTTCGCCCGATCCGGAGTTTGCATTGGCTGCGATGCGGGCATGTGCAAGACTTACTTCCACGTGACCTGCGCCCAGGTGGCCGGCTTCCTCATCGAGGCCCACCACGAGGACGATGCCGCCGATCCGTTCTACGCCCACTGCAAGGTTCACTCCGAGAAGGAAATGATCAAGAAGCGACGGCGCAACTATCATACCCTGCGGCTCAACATGTTGCAGCGGGTCAGGGAAAAGGAGGCAACTGCTGGCGATTCCGAAACCTCGGTCCCGCATCCGAATCCCGCCCAGGCGCGTATTCAGCGCAAGCTTCTCAAAATCCAGCACAAGTATGCCCGGCACAAGGAGCTCAAGCCGACGCCGTGGGTGCCGACTCAGAAAATGTCTCGTCTTCTAACCACCTCGGCCTCCGCCTGTCGTCGCCTACTGGCCAAGGCGGAGATCATGTCTGTGGATGTGCAGCATCTGGAGCAGCGTGAGGCGCATATCAACGCACTGACAGACATCCGAAAAAAGTGGCACATTGCGCCAGCCTTCAGTGTTGAGTTCACTGCCTACTACATGGACCGCATAGTTCGCATGGAGGACTTTCGCGAGCAGCAGCGGCAACTCATCTCGCACAACGCCGTCCTGTCCAAGGATCAGGACGTACTAAGGGCTCAGTACGACTCGGCTTTGGAGGAGCGCAAGACAGTGAAGACCACCAAGGATTCCCTGTTAGCCAGCATAAAGAGTGTGCACGCAGCTCTGGCTCAAATTGCACCCAATATGACTTTACCAAGCGTGGATCTGATAGCCCGCCCACTGCCAGAGGCTCCGCCCAAGACCAGCACGCCCACTCCACCCCAGCGACCCATCTCGGTGCCCACAGCAGCTGCCCTGAAAATGGGCGTGGGCTTTCCGCTGGGCCATCTGGGTCCGCCCGGCAGTAAACTGGACTCCTCGCGCATGCTCAGCACTCAGGCGAAACAGGGAAAGCATTGCAGTTCATCGACTGCCGTGGATGCTGCCCCCTCTGTGGCTTGCGGCATCTGCAAGCGGAGCAAGGATCAGCACCTGTTGGTCAAGTGCGACACCTGCAACCTGCACTACCATTTGGGTTGCCTTAATCCGCCGCTAACGCGTCCGCCAAAGAAATCCAAGCAGTATGGCTGGCAGTGCTCGGAGTGCTGCGACAAGTCGGACGGTTCGGATGCCGTCACAGAGATCTCCTCGGGACCAAGAAAGTCCCGCACTCGCTTCAACAAGGATGGCCACCTGGTCTATGTGGATCGATATTCGCTGGACGATGTGCCAGTTGCCGCTGCCATTAGTCCTCCCAAAGAGGTGACGGCCAAGCGGGCGCTGAACAAATCCCTGCCGGCAACTGCACCAGAAGACATTGAGGATCTGACCAAGTCGCCGAAACGTTCCAAACTCCAGTCGCCATATAAAACACCTACTAATGGTGAGTTTGATGCGAAGTATTCGGCTTTGCACTATACTTGCAAAGAAAATATAGCTTAATTTTGAGTATTTTGTTTTAGTTCCTAAACATGTTAATCTGTGAATTTTTTACTTTGAAAGTATTACCAGAATTTAAAGATGTTGGTTCAATGTGCTTGCGAATTTACAAAAATTGATGTTTTATACTTTTTTATTTGTTGTTATAATTTCTTTACAATTATATTTATTTGGGTTGCACTACAAATTAATGGAAAACAAAAAAAAATGGATCGTTGTAAAAATGATATGGTACTAAGCGATGCAAGATATGAATGTTTGTGTGTTTTTGACTAAGAAATTTAGTCAAAACTTGGTGAGTACCATGGGTATTCTGTAGTTTTTGTATTAGTTAGTTACTTATTTTAAATCGAAAAACTAATTTCATGGATCTTTTTTTGCCAGTTCCTACTGTTAACGCTGCGCCTGCTACTACTGCGCCTGCGTTGCCCAAGCCCAATGCTAGCACCTCGAACCTTTCCGGCTGTGAGGACTCCATAGACGACTCTAGCGGAAAACTATCCCGGAAGGGAAAGCGCAAGGACAAGCACAAGAACAAGCACAACCTGTCGTCAGACACGGAGAAGTCCATTGGCAAGGAACACAAGCGGAAGAGGAAAAAGCGGGCACATCTCGACGAGTCGTCGGGTCACCTGGACAACGTGGCCAACTCCTCGGGCAGCACCATCAAGATCATCTTCAAGGCTTTGCGATTGCCAGGCGAGGATGCGCCAGAATCTCAGTACTTTTATGTGCCGGCCAATGCGGTGCGCTCCGTGGACGAGGCCTCGCGTCCCACCTCCGTCGAAACGGTCGAGGACAGTGTCCAGGGTGCGGAGCAGGCCTTGGCGCCCATTGTGCTGCCGGCAGCGTCGCCGCAAAAGGTGCGGGAGCCCAAGGAGGCCCCTGTCACTCCTGCTACCGCCATCGCCATCGCTACACCCTCGCCCAAACGAAAGGTCAGCCCCCGAAAGACAACACCCAGGAAGCCGCGCGTGGGACGTCCCCGAGTGTCAAACACCAAGCCGAATGTGGAGATCAGCTGCTGTGTGTGCAGCCAGACCGGCAAGTCCAACCAGGTGGTGACCTGCGATGAGTGCCACCGGCACTACCACTTCGCCTGCCTGGATCCGCCGCTCAAGAAGTCGCCCAAGATACGCGGCTACTCCTGGCATTGCGCCGACTGCGATCCCACGGACGAGGATGCACTGCCCAAGAAATAGAATGTAACACTATTTTTATTTAGCCTAGGTTTTCTACCATTTTGAGACAAAATATCTTGATAGCCCTTGCGATATTTACAAAAGATAAAATTGAACATAACACAAAATAATTATACATCTTAAATATAATAAAATTAAACTACTAGAAATATTGGAAAATTACAAAATATGTTCTATATAATTTGCGGGACCTGATACAAAATTGATTTAGTTATTTCTTATGAATCAGAAAGTTTTTAAGTCAAGTCTTACAATTGTTTGAAATTTATGTTTCAATTTATTTGCCTATTGCAATTATAATTTAAGTTTTTAGAAACAATAAAAAGTAAGCTGAAAAGCCCTTTAAAAACTAATATTGAATAGCTTACACATACTTATTTAAACAAAAATAACCAATTTTATCGATAACTTTTGATTTTAGAATCTTTTGAAATAGCTTAACAGCCATTGTACAGAGCCACAGGGTGATTAGAGCAATACAAAACAAAACAAACCAAGCAATCTGCGTAATTTAAATTAACCAATTGCATAAATGAAAACATTTGAAAACTTAAAATAATTTCAGTAAAATGGAAGAAATATGCCGAGTTTGCTTGAACAGAGGCGAGGTCATGGTAAACATTTATCAGGGGACGCAGGAGTTTGGCATTTCAATTGCGGGTATGATTTCGGAGTCCACTGGCTTTCCCGTGGAAAACAAGGACTCAATGCCCAAACTCATTTGCCTGCCTTGCCGGGAAGATGTACAAAATGCATTCGATATCAAGAGAACTTACGAGAGGAGCCATAACTTCTTCTGTCAACTGGAGGAGGAGCGTACGGCGAAGGCTCTTTACAGCCAGGCTAAGGAGCCGGATCAGGATCAAGATCAAGATCAGGATGGTGATTTGGAGCTCCCCTTCAAGTGCCCACATTGCCCAAAGAGATGCAGACTGAAAAGCAACCTAACGAAGCACATAAGACTCCATTCGGACGAAAGACCCTACAAGTGCGACCAGTGCCAGAAGTCCTTCAAGGACAGCAGTGTCCTGCAGAGGCACAACCGCATCCATACGGGCGAGCGTCCCTTCAAGTGTACCGAATGCCCCAAATCCTTCTCTTACTCCGGCTCCCTGAGGGATCACCTGCTGGTCCACTCCGGCGAACGTCCCCACAAGTGTCCGCACTGCTCGACGTCCTTCAGATGGCTGAAGCTCCTCACCATCCACCTGCGCAGTCACTCCGGGGAACGCCCCTTCAAGTGTTCCCGTTGCTCCAAGGCCTTTGCAGCCCGATCCACGCTCCAAAACCACTTGCGAACCCACACGGGAAAGCAGCCCTTTGAGTGTCCTGAGTGCCAGAGGTCCTTCAGCATCGAGCAGAGCCTGCGGTCGCACATGAAAACGCATGAAGATTAAACTATAGGGTCGAAATGTCTGCCTGTTTTGAGCACCATAAAAACCATACATTCCCGTGTTAAACCATGTTTCCTTTTTTATTTACTATATTGCTTATATGAAATGAAAGCAATATTAAATTGTTAATAAATATATAAGTACCTGTTGATTGTACAAAACGAAATTCATTCGGTTTAAGTAAATTGCTATCTTTTTGCGATATTGAATCTGTAGAATTAAAGGCTAGTTAAACCATTTTTACATTTCTATGTATGTTTTACAATCTATTTTTTCAAGAGAAAGTTTAGAATTATTTACTATTATCCTTATTATGTTTGGTTTTATATATTTACTATCTTGTTTATTTACTATAACAATTCCTACACCGAGACAGTTTATAGATTAATAACAATAACTAAAAATGTTACAAATAAAATTGAATTGGATTCAAAATGTATTTAAAGTTTATACTTGTAAACATACTAATCATTCTCCCCTTTTAAAGTAAGCAAACAAACGAATTAAAACATGGTAACATATTTATTTACAAAAATTAAATTAATTACGCTAAAAATTAACTCCAAAACCAGCTGAATATTAAAGTTCTTCAAGCGGAATGAGATTCTTTTCCTTAGTTGTAATATTGCGTTTGAGTTTCCCAGATGCTGTTTTTCGGTGGTGACTTTGGATGTGCTTGACACGATAGTCGCCTCTCGTGAAAGATTGTGGGCAATGGGGACATCTATACGGCGTTTCTCCCGTGTGAATGCGTTTGTGGAGGCGAAGAGTTTGGCTGTTTGCAAAAGTGTCGTCACAGTAAGTACATTTTAGACGTGGTCTGTCCGAGTGGGAAAGTGTGTGAGTTTTGAGAATTTTATCATTTGCGAACGATCTTGGGCAGTGCTCACACTTAAAAGTTTGTTCGGAAGAGTATAAGGGTTTTTCAATTGTATGAACAAGTAATATGTGACTTCTTAAAGATTCTATTCCATTGAAGCTCTCTGAGCAATCTGAACATGCGTATTTTTTTTGCCTTTTATGTATCAGATTGTGCTTCCTGAGTGTTCTTGCGTTTTTTAATGTCTTCGAGCACTGGCTACACTTACGGGCCTCCTTTTTAGGATCGATAGTTTCATTATTGTGCCTTCGAATGTGGTCCTTGAGGGGATCCAATTGCGCATAAGTTTTGGGGCATAGGCTGCACTTGTAGGGTCTTTCGCCAGTGTGTGAACGCATGTGTTTTTTTAGAACGGAGTTATGGGTAAAATACTTGTGGCATATCAAACATTCATAGGGACGTTCTCCAGTGTGAGTTCGCGTGTGTTCCCTAAGTTGCGCTTGATTTCGAAAATTCTTTGGACAATAAGAGCAGAAGAACGATTTTTCAATCGTGTGAACCCGAAGGTGTCTTTTATAGTTTGATATAATGCTAAAAGACTTCGGGCAGTGGGGACACTTTTGCAGTTGCTCAAAGTGATTTTTCAAGTGGGCTTCAAGGTCACGTTTGCGCTTGCAAACCTTTGGACATTGAGGACATTCAAACAAAGTAAAATCATCGTTGTGATCCTCGCTGCCATTTTCATCTATAACATTGTCTTCAAATATATCCACTTCAATATGGCTAAATGGATCGATTTCAGTGTCTGACAGCTTGCAGACTTCTTCCTCAAACAAGGCGTTATGGGTGTGGATGTGGTCTAGGAGAGCATCTTGGTTGTCAAAGGACGCAGAGCAGTGGGTGCACTTGAAAAGTGGCTCCTTCTCCTCTGTGCGGACTTGGACGAAAACTCTACTATTTTTCCGGACTTTTGACCCCTTCTTACAGTGAGTCTGGATGTGCATCTGAAGATTGGCAGGTTGTATAAAGGACTTGTCACACTGGGAGCACTTGTAGGGTCGTTCCCCGGTGTGAGTTCGATCGTGATTGACAAGATGGGTTTTTTGTATAAAAGTCTTTGGACATTTGAGGCACTTAAAAGGTCGTTCCCCAGTGTGAATTCGAACGTGCGATTGAAGGTTGGAACTGTTGAGAAAAGATTTGGAACACTGCAGACATTGGTACGATCGTTCTCCAGTGTGGGTCTGCATGTGGCTCCGGTGTTGCGCTAAAGTACGAAAACACTTGGAGCAGTGGGCACATTTGTACTTTTCTTCCTTAGTGTGATCAGGTGTGTGGAGATTAAGGAAATATTTGCTCCGAAATCTCTTGGGACACAGAGTACATTTGAACGGAAGTGCATCTTTGAGTGGACCATCTTCATCAATATCTTCGCTTTTCTCATTTTTCACTTGGCAATTGTATTGCTCTATTTCGGTGTCTGGTGTCTTTGAGACGTCCTCCACCGGGAAATCTTCTTCCAATGGCTCGTTCTTCACGTGGCAAACGAACTGATCATCGTCACAATTAGATCCCTCCGTATCGCAGTGCTGAGCTTGTTCCTCCTGAAAATCCTCTTCAATGATTTCCTCCTTGACTTGGCAGATGAAGTGTTGGCTGCTTTCATAGGTTTCCTTTATCCTGAATGCGTTTTGCGCATCCTGTAGGCAAGGTGGACAAATGGATTCGGAAAGTGCGTCGCCCTTTTCAACGGGAAACCCTGTGGATTCCCAAATCATATCCGCTATGGAAATCCCGAGGTCCTGTGTTTCACTAAATATATTTACCATGTTTCGGTACTTTCGCAAACAAACTCTGCATTTGTCCTTCATTTTTGCTAAAATCAAAAAGATTGTGTCAATAGAAATTGCCATGTTTGAGATAATAAGAATTCTTACATTTGTTTTGTTTATTATTAAAATTATTTTATGGATAATTTGGCACAGATAGTTTGTTTACCTCCTCGGTTATTTGTTAACAGTAGTGTCTGCACTTCAAAATGTGCTGTTAGGCGCAGGAACACATGTTGCGCTATCGAAAGCCTATCGATTCAGGGCTTATCGACCTAACAAAAACAAGAAAATCATAAGCTGGGTATACTGTTTTATGCACCCTACACCGGGCGTTACATTTTTAATGTTATGCACAATTTATATTAGATATTAAATAAAGAGTATACATCAATTAAAGATTTCTTAAAAATATTAAGAACTAATCTAAGCTATACATATACTTATTTTGCACTTCCTTGTTTTCGGTGTACTTAAACAGCATATTTGTAGAGTGAAGCGCATAGTATAGTCGATCAGGTCTCATCATACTCTAATCCAGCGGCTGCTAGAAAAACGGCCACGTAAAAAAAGTATTTTATCTGACGCAAATACTTGGCATTCTTGAACGAACCGAACTAGATGAGAGTAAACAAAGGCCATTAGAATATGCCACAGCGCCAAGCGACGCAGCAGTTGGAGTTGATATGTGACGTGAAGCAGTGAAAATAGATCGGGACCCTCAAAATTGACCATGGACGAAAAGCTCAAATATTCGCTGCTGCGCGGGGAGCTGGTTGACACGCAGAGCATATGGACCAGGTGGGTTTCTCTACTACAAACATCTCTCCAATATGCCCATTTTCACTACTGTTCCTCCTTCTATTCTTTGCAGGCACGAGAAGCGCGTGTGGTTCATCACACTGATAACGGGCACCTGCATGCTCTACTCCACCCGCACCACCATGCCCCTCCTTGTGCCGGCCGTGGCATCCGCCCAAAAGTGGAGTAAAACCGACTCCGGCACAGTGCTCAGCTCCTTCTTCTGGGGCTACACCCTGACTCAGGTGGTGGGTGGCTACTTCAGCGACCGCTTTGGAGGGCAGCGGGTCATCCTGGCCGCCGCCATCGGATGGTCGCTCATCACATTCCTGATGCCGACGATCATCTGGTCTGCGGGCTCCATCAAGAGCTATGCCATTCCCTTCATCGTAGCCATTCGGATTCTTAATGGCGCACTCCAAGGCGTCCACTTCCCCAGCATGATCAGTCTGACGAGTCAGGTGAGCAGTTATAGGATAGCGATTCTCACATAAACTATAATCGAATCCCCTGTAGAACCTCTGCCCCAATGAAAGGAGCAGCTTCTTTGGCTTGCTCACAGCTGGCTCAGCTTTGGGCACTCTACTCACCGGCATCATGGGCTCGTTCCTGCTGGAATACTTTGGCTGGTCGTACGTCTTCCGGGTGATTGGACTGATGGGCATTGCCTGGGCGCTGGTCCTGCGCTACTATGCAATGGCCGGGGAGCGCAATAGGATCATAAACATTGCCACGCCCTCGCGTCTGTGCGCAAACAAAAGTCCGACGGAGACAACGGCCGTGCCCTGGCTACGCTACTTCAGCCGACTGTCCTTCTGGGCCTGTGTGCTGACCCACGCCTGCGAGATGAACTGCTTCTTTGTGCTGCTCTCGTGGCTGCCCACATACTTCCACGACGGCTTTCCGCACGCCAAGGGCTGGGTGGTCAACATGATACCGTGGCTGGCCCTCCCGCCGTGCACCCTTTTCGCCAAGTACTTGACCACCAGGATGCTGGCCCGCGAGTGGCAGACGACGACGGTGCGAAAGTTTATCCAGAGCTGCTGCTTCGGCGCCCAGAACTTGGCCCTGTTCGTGATGAGCCGCACCTCGGACTTCCACACTGCCCTCATCTGTATGACCATCATCATAGGCGGCACGGGCTTCCACAACAACGCGGTGACGGTGAATCCCCAGGATCTGGCTCCCCTGCACTCGGGCAGCGTCTTTGGCCTGATGAACACTGTGGGCGCGATTCCCGGCTTCCTGGGTGTCTATTTGGCCGGACACATTCTGGAGCTCACGCAGAGTTGGCCGATGGTGTTCAGCGCGGCGGCTGGCATCAATCTTGTCGGCTGGATTATATTCATGGTCTTCGGTTCGGCGGAGGCCATTGTTTAACATTCTCTTGCACACTTTCCTCAGTTGAAATTAACTTATTTATTTACATATGTGTGTGTATATTGGAGTGGGTCGATTTAAACCATGCATGGACGAATTTTAATCCATTTTCTTTTCTTAGTCTGAAATATTCAATTACTTTTATTTCTTGTTAACAACTGACGACCGAGTACTTTTCTCGGGAAATGTTAAAGCCAAAAATATGTAGCATTTTGGATACCATAAGACATTAAGATGTTTAGCCATTAAATCGATTCACTCTATATATATTAATGTATATATTTAAGGCCGTAGTTTTAAGTAGAGAAATCTTTCTGCTCCTAGCGTGATAAATTATAATTTTTTAATCCATCAAGCTATAACAACGTAGTCAATTTTATGTTTAATTTATTTATTTAAGGCCCATACAAATCGATCATATTAGGCTATGCTTTTGGACATGTAAGGCCCGTCCAGTTCGTATCCTAGCTTGCGGTAGTAGTTCCTGGTGCCCACTCCCGATATGACTGCCAGCTTTGTGCTGCCGTGTTCCTCACGAGAAATTCGCTCCGCCTCCTCCATCAGCAGCATGCCGAAGCCTTGGTGCTGGAACTTTGTGGGATCACGGGCATTAACCGGCACCACCGAGCCATATACGTGAAGTTCGCGCACAATGGAACACGCGCCCTTTAGTTCCGGTCGGAAGGTGTCCGGCGAGCACTTGCGCAGCCTGAGGAGACCGACGAGGATGTCCTGCTCGGGATCTTCGTACGATAGGAACGTTTCCCAGCCGCCGTTGGCCACATAGTCTCGGCGTATAAGCTCAATTTCGTAGGGACGCACCTTGTTGTGGATCTCCTGAATGCCAACCTCGCGGGTCCTTACATCTCGACATGTAGTTCCCAGATCCTTCATGCGGGCCAGAGCCAGCTCACGGAGATTGCCGTGCTCCACGCCGGAACTGAAAATAAATTAACGTATCAGACTCGTTCAAGAGATTACGTTGTGATCAACTCACCTGACCAGCGGCATGGGAATGTCGCGCTGGACGCGGTAGACTCGCGTCCAGGGTGGTACAAGTGCCAGAATCTTGGCCACCAGGTCCACTAGCATCGATGGCGGATAGGACTTGTAGCGACCGGTCTTCCACAGCTCATAGAGACCAGTTCCGCGAATGACGAGCGTGGGGTAGATTTTCAGGCCGTCAGAGCGGAAGGCGGGATTCTCAAAGTACTCGATGAACTGCTCGATGTCGCGCTCAAAGTCCACGTTCGGCAGGTCGGGCATCATGTGCGCCACGATCTTGTAGCCGGCATCCTTGCCCAGCTGAAAGCTCTCACACACCGCCCTCACCGTGTGCCCACGATTCGTATCCCTGGCCACGTCCTCGTAAACCGACTGCACGCCGATCTCCAGTCGGGTGCAGCCATAGTTAAGCATGTCCGATATGTGCCGCTTGAGACAGTAGTCCGGCCGTGTCTCTATGGTGATGCCGATGCACTTGGTGCGCGACTTCTCCGAGTAGCGCACGGCCTCCGCCACATTGGCGCTGCTGTGGCCGGAGAGGGCGTCGTGCAGGTTGCGGATGAAGTAGTCGCGGTACTCCTCCGGCAGGCACATGAATGTGCCGCCCATCACGATGAACTCCACCTTGTCCACGCTGTGGCCCAGTTGCTTAAGCTGCTCGACGCGGTGGCGCGTTTGCAGAAAGGGGTCGTACCGCGCCCGGATGGCACGCATCGAGGTGGGCTCATAGCCCGTGTACGACTGCGTGGAGTACTCGAAGTCGCTGTCCGGTCCGCCGGGACAGTAGACGCATATGTTTCCTGTCATGTTGATGTGCGGACAGCGATGTGGCTTGCACATTACGGCCACTACGGCGATCTAAAATAAATGGAGTGTAAATAATGGAAAACATTGGCTCTCTTAGATCGGATAAATGGCAACAAGGTGGTCTTTTCAATGTACCGACTTGTTAAAAGTGGAAGTAAAACAGTCAACTTACGCCACTTGCTGTGCGAATGGGCTTGGCCCTCAGCTTCGGGAGCAGAATCTTCTTGGCGTCCTGCGGCACGGCTGCGATGATGTCCACCAGACGCGGCGAGCTGTCCAGTCCGTATTTGGAGGAGACCAAAGACTTCATCCTGTTGAGGTTCACATCCTTTTTGGCTTCGTGCGCCCGAAGCAGCTCCTGGATAATCTCCCCGATAACAAGCACCTGACGCTCCTCCCGGCTCAGGCCCACACCTGCAATATATAAACAGGTTAGCAGGTGTTTAGGAGAGAACTTTTCCTGCTGCCAACTTGCCCAACTTCTTTTTTGGCTTCATTTTCCGGATGAATTTCACGTAAATTGCACGTGTGACGTCGCAGCTGTTTTGTTTTGGTCATCGACCGATAGTCCTAGAGATGGACCTCCGACTGTGGGTAGCAGCACTGAGGGCTGGTTATTTAACGCCAGTATGCGCTGGTCACACTAGCGCCCAGAAAGTTTTTGTTTTCGCACCAGATTCTCGGAGTAGTGGATTAAAATGACTAGCTGCGTGCCAGCGCAGCAGCAAAAGGACCAGGAGCAGTTGGTGAGGGAACTGGCCGAGAGCAGCGGTGACGACATGGACGACCCGGACGATCCAGACCAGGACAAACTGCAGCTGGCTGAGCTTCCGACGTTCTCTTTTTCGGTGTGTATACAACAAGCTACTTTTCTTGCGGATAAATGAATGTAGCACTCGTGCTGCCTTTCCAATTCGCAGAATAGCAACACCTGCTGGGTGTGCAACGGCTACTACGGTCCCAACTTCGGGGAGCCCTTGTGCGGCGCCTGCCATGCCTTCCTCTACAACGCCCAGCGAGCCGAGGAGCTCCTTACAGAGCTGTCCGACGACGAGGACTCCGGGAACGACGAGCCCCCGTTCAAGGACAAGCAGGAGGACGAGGAGACCGAGAACGATGTGGACATCATGGGCTTCGAGGATCTGGAGGACCCTGAACCGCCGGCCATCGCACAGAACGCCATAGCGCAGCCAGCAATGGAACCGCAGGATCAGCAGCCAGACCAGCCTGTCCCAGATCCTCCCCAGCAGGCAGCCGAAGTGGCGGATTCTCCGGAGCGTGACTTCGAGCACGAGCGTGCTGTCAATCCTTTTCTGCTGCCCATCAAACGACCCCGGGCCATGGCTCCCTTGGCTCTGCCCCACTACATGCACGAATTGGCCGATGGACGGGCGCGAGTCCATGAATACAACGGCGCCGGCGGAAGCGGTGCAAGTGGCAGCAGCAGCAGCAGCAGAAACATCGTGAACATGATACCCGTCGAGGTGATGCTGAAGATATTCGCCTATCTGGACGACATGTCGCTATGGATGGCCAGCGAGGTGTGCAAGCAATGGCACGACATCGTCGGGAAGAACACGGCCCAGAGCATGTGGAAGGCGTACATCAAGCAGCGCTGGCCGCTGTTCGAAAGTTTGGCGGACAATCCCAACTGGTACCGGCTGTACGGGGAGCTGATGTCGTCCTGCTTCTGCCGCACCTGCCTGATCGAGATGGGCGGACGGGGTGAGGAGGCGGGGCAGCAGGCCGATCAACAACTTGGCGACCGGGAGCCGGGCAACGCGATGCGCAATAACTTTCTGCGCGGCGAGGCCAATCTGCTGAACAGCTACGATTCGGAGGGCATTTCGGCCATACCGCTGGATCGACAGAACAACTACTGGCAGGCCACGATCCTGGGGCCACCGGGCAGTCCCTACGAGGGCGGCAAGTTCTTCCTGTTTATATACTTTCCGGAGCGCTATCCGATGACGCCGCCCACGGTTCGTTTCCTTACCAAGATCCTGCACCCGAATGTGTCGAGGCACGGCGACGTGGGCATCGACATCTTCCAGCAGCACAACTGGTCGCTGGCGCTGAACGTGGCCAAGGTGCTGCTGTCGGTGCAGAGCCTCCTGACCGATCCCTACACCGAGGTCTGCATGGAGCCCGAATTGGGGTACATCTACGAGCACGAGAGGGATAGATTCGAACAGCTAGTGCGCTCTTGGACCTGGAAGTACGCCATGTTCGAGCTGTTTGCCGCGCACTAGGAGATCGATCGAAAGTTCGCCGAGGACACTGGACTGAAAGTTGGAAACTACCCCTCTTTACGTTTTAACTACATATGTCGTGTGTATTTAGCTTAGTTGTGTGCCATCCGGATTGTTTATTTGGCCTCTCTCTCACTTTCCCCGCGCCCACAGGTCACAACATAGTCGAAATTACTTAACCTAATAATAAATGTATGCTTTAAGTTACGAGTGCGTTGGCCTCACTTCGTCCAGGACACTTTGGGGATGTCGAAGTGCTCGGTTAGGGTGTCTAGATGCTCGTTGAACTTCTCGACGCGCTCCTTGTGAGTGGTCTGCGCCTTGTCCATTATCCGCTTGTTGCGCATCTTCTCCTGCTGCTTCTTGCTGGCCAGCTCTGCCTTGGTGAGCTTGCGCTCGTAGCCACTGGCGCCGGAAGACGAGGTGGCGCCCGTCTCCGCCAGTTGCTGCTCCACATACGATTTTTGCAGCTCCTTCTCCTTGTCCTTGCTCTTCTTCTTTTTCTTCTTCTTCAGATCTGAGTCGTTCTTCAGCTTGAGTTTGCCCTTAGCCACGCAAGCGTACTCGTCGGACATGGTTTCGGTGGTTCTCCCAGTCAAATATTGATAAAAACTTAAAAATTGTCCTTGTTTTTGTTTACAACCAGTCAGAAACAGAGGTGGCACTGTGCATGGTGGTATTTCACATGACTATCGATATCAGCTTATCGGTATAACTTTCAAAAATCAAATCGCTATTATTATCAGTTGTTATAGTTTTGTTTTATTTATTAATAGTAAATGTTCAACAAAAATTTCCTATTGTCAGCTGCAATCTTACATTTTTATTTTAAAAAGGAAAAAAAATAAGAAACAGAAAGTTTAAGAAATTAAATAAAATTAATAATAAAACAAAAGTCTAGACGAGAAATAATAATGAATAATACTAATAAAAAATTTTTTTTATATATATTAAGGAGGTTTCATAATTTTGTTTCCATTTAACGCTGATACTTAACCTACGGACTGCAGAATAGTAAATTGACTCACTGACAGAAAAATATCATCAAGTCTTATAATTTAATTTTCTTTTATAACAAGTGAAGAATACATTTTCGGCCTATAATGTAAACCTACTTTTGATCAGCATTAAAAACTTTAATTTACCAATTAAGATTCCTTTCTTAATACATTCCTATATGGCTTAATGTCAGCAGTCAAAAGTCAAAATTTTATAATGTTTAACGTTGTTATTTGTTTGTCTCATTATATGTTGACTGTCCGTATCAATAAAGTTTTTTCAAAGCCGAGATTTTTATTACATTTGATCTGTGCCTTGACCTGTAGATAGATGCTGATAGATAAGGCGTAAAATATTTCAGAGTGAGCTGATGCTTTTAGTCAAAGTTTTAGTTTGAAGGCATAAAGATGCGTCTAGCTATTGGGGTATTTTTGGTCGTCGCTGTTCTTCTGGTTTCGGAAAGCGAGGCAGCTGTTAGCCGTGGAATCTACAAGGATCCAGCTCATCCTGGAAAATGTGTCCTTGAAGGCCTTATTTTAGAGGCGGGTCAAAGTGCACGGAACCCAAAAAGATGTGAGCGAATTTTGTGCGGAGAAAATAGCACTGTAGAAAGGCATACGTGAGTTTAAGCTTTTTAAAAAAGATATAAAAATGAAAATAATTTAATTTAAATTAATTTAGATGTGGTATCTATGGACTTGCCCCAGGCCAACAATTCGGAAAATACAAGGCTCCAAACGCTGATTATCCTGCCTGCTGTGAACGTGAAATAATAAACGTGTAATAAATATTTTTAAAATATTCAAATCCTAACACAAACAAATACAAAGCCGCCTCTTAACTTCATAATTGTACGCTTCGGTTTTTGTTGGTATCTGTGAGGATCGTATGGCACCACCAAAGGTTAAGTAATTACAAACATTAATAGCTCTAGACGATAAAAATCAGTGAGAGCCAAAGACAGCGTACTTTATAGTCTTGTAAATCTATTTTTTTCCTAATAGAGTTAGTTGGCTTATATTTCTTTACTTAGTTTACATCTATTCTAGGTGGTGAAAAAAAATAAAGAAAATATAATTACAAACGAAGATTTTTTTCTTTTACTGCTTTTTAAAATCAATACACAATATACATTAATTTTATGTTCTGTTAAACTTAAAAGGGCTTTTTAAAGCCCAACGCCTACATATACTAAATAATTATTTGCATTTTAATATTTTTAATTAGCAACTTGACAGCCTCAAGCTACCATAAAAACAGCTTTGTTAGGACCAGCTGCCCATTAAAAAAGCTTGTGTAGTTTCATAGTTGCCAGTTAGTTAAGTTTTTAGACAAATTTCTATTCTGAAGGCACTCAGATGCGTCCTCATACCGTAGTTATTTTAGTCGTCTTATTTCTCCTGAGTTCGGGATCTCAGGCTTCCGTTTCCATGGGAATCTATCAGGATCCAGACCATTATTTTCATTGTGTCGTTGATGGAATAATCATGTGGCGTGGTCGAAGTATAACCCACCCAAGAAGGTGTGAGGAACTGTTGTGCTCATTTAATAGTGCAGTGATGAGACGAACGTGAGTTTGAGTGCACTAGAAATTATATATATAACGATTTAAAATATTCAATAAATTTAGATGCCCTCCCGGACAAATAAAGTTTGGAAAAATCAAGGCTCCGAAAGCTAAGTATCCCGCCTGCTGTCTAGAGTAGGTTCAATTTTATTTATACAACGTTAAATGATTAAAATCTCTGGATAAGAACTAAATATGAGAACCTATTTATTATCTTTACCGGCGTATTCGAAGAACATCTAGTCCGAGGAACCCTAAGTCCGAGGAATATCAAGTACTGTATGTAACAGTTTGTTTTTATATACTTCTGAAAATTTAACTAATAACTGAGCAAGGTCCAATAATAGGCATGGTATATAAAGGAGGAAATAATGCAACACCTTTTAGAAGTTACTATATTTAAGAGGGATAATGATGCGTCTGACTACCGGTAAATTTTTGGTGATCGCTGTATTTCTGATTGTACACTCCAAAGCAGCTATTATTTAAACTAAATATACATATATTGAAATTATAAATAAATTTTGAATAAATTTCAAATATAAAGCAGCCAAATGAACTTAGTTAAATTAAGCTGAGGGCATGTTTTTGATTTTTGATTTTGGATTTGGCAAATTTCTCAAATTTAAATTTGAAAATCATCGGAGAAAAGTGTGACCAGTGCTTAATTTCTTAGTGAAATAAGTTGGCAGCCCTGAACAGCTGATTGCTAGAATGTCGATATTTATCAGATATCGATAAGCATTTCTGGGTTGCCATGGCACCAACCATTACGGGTAGTTTATATACACATTTTATTCACTGAAAAAGAGAAGGAGGATTTAAATAAAAATAAGGCACTAAAAGATGGGATATTTACCTGTGCTTAGATGGGGAAACGAAGTAAAATCACCTGGCTATTGAGAGCGGCGTCTGGCATTTGGCACACCTAGCAACCCTGGTCGCGACGTATACCTTTTATGTGTAAAAAAGTGAAGAATTCGCTTGGTGGGCGGACGAAACGTCCGAATTTACCGAAGAATCTCAATATCCAATAATAGAAAAACAGCATTTACTCGTGCACAAACTGAAAATCCGTGGAAAACCCAAAGTGACAGTGATTTTCCTTTACTATACGATCCCAAAAACCACATTAAAAGCAACTTCCGCAGACGTCAGCAAGTGCCATATAAAAGAAATATATGAAATAAACAAATAACAGGGACAATTCTATAAACAAAACCAAAAAGGAAGTAAACATTAGAGCGCAAGGAAATAGGAGCGGCAGCGAGTGCCGTTGTCATGCATTTTGTCACACAGCAGCGGGCACAACAGCAGCACCACCAGCAGCAGCACAAATCCACCTCCTCGTCGAGTTCCTCGCTGGCCTCAAGCTCCTCGTGCTCCGGATCTGGATCGGGATCAGGATCGGGATCGGGATCGGGATCGGGATCGGGATCAGGATTCCGCTTTGTGACCCTGCGCAAGTCCGCAAGCCAGGGTGCTCTGCCCAAGTCCTTGGCCACCGCCCACAGCCTCTTCCATCGCCATTCGTCCTCGCACGGCAAGCACAAACGCACCGCCAGCTTAAATGTGACGCCCATGTGAGTTGCCACGCCCCCAAAGGCCCACTATCCAATATACATACATACATACTAATCCAAAATCGAAAGTTTTATCGCTTTACGTAGAAAGAAATAAGGTTTAAAGTGGGCGTTTCGAAATTGTACTTGTAAATTCTTATTGTCCGTCACAGTAAACTCTATGTAAAAAGAATAGATTGTTAGCCACATTTGAGAAGATCTGGAAACTTCAAAATTGGTTTACTCGTAGTATTTGTGTACAAATTTGTTACATAACACTATATCTAATCTTATGAAATCTGTAAATAATTTGGTTGATTAATTTTAAAAAAATATCACAAATTCCCTTTATGAACTATTTTAATTCTGAAAACTGAATTCAAAAACATTAAAGTTTAAAGTCCTTGGAAAACAGATCATATGAGCTACTGAGTATCAAGACTAAATGTTATAGCTAAAAAAGTTCAAGCTGCCCTTTAAAATTTCAAACGCATTTTGATCTTATTTCTTTCTGTGTAAAAGTAACCTAAGAGCTAACCGTGTTTATTTCTGGTGTAGGTTTGCCCGCTGGCTTGCATGCTTAACCCGTTGCTAGTCATATTGCATGTCGTTTAAAAGCCCCTCTTTGTTCCTTTCAGTTTCGGCTTATCTACCCGTTAACCCCCTTCCTAATTTGTCCAAATCTGCCCACTTGTGTCACCAAAGTGATAATACGGGTTGCCCCAACCTAATTGCCCAACACCTCTTACTTCTTGGATTTTGATAGCATTTTCCGATTATTGCGCAACAGTTGCCTTTGGAAAATTGACAGGAACAGGGCGGTTCGTCGTTGTAAGGCGCTTTAGCATATCGATTTTGTGGCTGTTGAAACTAACGAACAAAAGCAGTAAACAAACAATATTTTTATTGACTTCAGTAAGTCTGCGAAAGTGTCTGGGCTATCATCGTGCTGTTGTGGTTATCAGTTAATTTAGTGAATGAACTCGAAATATAGAAAATATGGGTATTTAAATTAATAGATAACAAGTAAACCATCAACATTTTTATTTAAATGGCAAATGGAAGGTTTTAGCTATTGAATAGTTTATCGAATTGAAGCGAAAATAAATAATAAATACAAAAATAAGTTAAGAGTAGATAAAGAGTGAGTACTGCGAATTAAATAACTTTTTTTAGTTACTTTCCATCTAACTAAAAAAAGCAATAAATAACCAAATTCATTCACAACTTTATATTTTGTTAGTTACCTTACATCTAAATAAAAAAGGCAATAAATAAACAAATTCATTCACAACTTTGTATTTACTAGCACTTGCAGTAAAATTTAAGTTGTTAAACCAAGCATTAAGTTAGTTTTGAGTCAATGGTACTATTTGCCCTAAATAGACGTTACATTCAACACTTACATTAAAGCAATAATTAAGAAATTTTACAACTCGAGCAAACGTTTTATCGTCTCACCCACCTACTGAATTTCTATATACCCAGCAAAATATACGATTTGTGTTTTGTGCACTCAAGCGTTTTCCACGTAAGCCAAAAAATATAAAAGTAAACATTTTCGATTAGCCTTGGCTGGTATTTGTAATTGGAACCACTTTAGGTCTGCATTTGCATAGGAGAAGAGATTGTGACTTGCATTTAGGTGGCTTTTGGGTAGTTATTATGGTCTGTAAACAAACCCGTTAAAAAAGCGGCTAGCGTATGCAGTGGTCTCCTATATCTCGGTTAGATTTTCCAACCCCAAGCAAAAACAAAACCAGGGGGATACCGATTCTCTCGTCGGCTGCTCTTGAGTGCAAATCGGAACGTCGAGCTGGGATGACGTGCCCGGCACGAGCTCCCATTTCTCAATTCTCAATTCTCGTTTCTCGTTTCTATATTCCTATATCTCGCCATCGCGTGCCTTAAACAAACCAACAAACAAATGACAATCAACAAAGGGAACAAAACTGCGACACTGAACATGGAATATTAATTAAAGAATTAACAGCAAAACGGTGGACTGTGTGTGGTTGGATAGTTCATAAATTAATGACATTTCGCCAAGCAGTGCTAAAAATACGAATCATTTGTGCTGTGTTTACGTTTACGTTTGCGTTTGCGTTTCGTCATCAGTTTTTCGCGCTGACCGTTTCTGGTCTATGCCACTTTTGGCCACTTTTTCGGCTGTTTTTCAGCGATGACATAGATTTTGGTTGAACAATACAAAAGCAGCAAACCAATGCCGAAGGAGGAAATAAAGAAGCCGCCGAGGAAAACATTGAATGTGGAACCAAAGAAAGCCAAGCGAAAGAAAATGTAATACATGTTCACTCTTCACTATTGATTTTTCTCCGAGTTTAAGTGGCTTAGAGGTTTCTACGTTGGCAATAGAACAATTACGAACTCTGGGTAAAGTGGCTTCTTGGGCAGGTAATGCGCTAGTTAGTTTTATGGCCAGTGGCCTTTCATGTCGGAAATGCATTCGAAGTCCGGCTTCCATGACTAATGGAGCACTTTGTGACCCTCCCAAAGGCCAAAGTTCAAGAGGGCACCCGCCCCCTACGACGGAGATCTATATATTATTCAGGCTGTGCAATTTCATTCGTAATGATAACTTGCAGTCCGTACGTGTAATTGATACACAGTATATCAGTAATTGCGTAGAATTCATAAAGATATTTCCCATTGATAAAGTTCATTCAATATTGCAGGCATGCAGTAAAGTTTCACTAAGTTTAATTCACTCACTTTTTAAAACAAAGGAAAGTGGGTAATAATTTGCATACAAAAGTTTTAGTCACACATTTTTAAAAACATCTCATGATTTATACTTAACTCACAAATTCTTGGAAATGATCTTAGTAAATTGAAGAATTTATGTTTTTTTGTTGCTTTAACTATAAACAACTTATTTTCACTTTGCCAGCAAGAGAGAACTGACGTATACACCCTCCAAAAACATGCCTAAGACATATATTATCTTTCTTAATTAACGAAAATTACGTTTGTTGAAACTATAAATAGCATTGAATCACGAGTAATTTATCTCTGATGTTTCCCACTTTCGCAGATATCTTTCTCAGTTCGCAAGTACAACGTCAATTAAGGGGATATGTGTTGAATTTATCCGCAGATATTATCATTGTTGCAAATTGTTAGGGGCTACAGAATTATACGAGTTGGTATCTTAAACAGAAATTCTGTAATATAAATAAATATATTCATTCTTAAAAGCTAGAATCCATTTGTTAGATTAAGTACTTTGTTATTCTTAACTAAGATTGACGAAGCAACTGAATATATTATAAATTCTATATACAAATTATAAGCCATTACATTATCTCTGATCTTTCACACATTTAAGCTGACGCTTAGTAATTATAAATACGTAGCCATTTAATGAGGGCAAATCGTCGTTTTCACTCCACTCAGTTTTGTTTACTCGATTCGCAGAGTGCTTCGAATGCCTTTCATCTCGGCAAGTATGTACATATATTTTTAATGAACTTGAAATGAACTGAGTGATAAGAATGTTTGAGTTCATTTTCACAGTGTCTTGGGGGTCGATCTCTATTTAAACGGTACGTGAGAGGAGCGGAAACGTGTGTTTATTTTTATTTAGACTTCTGTAAATAGTGGAAATATTTCCGAGTACTCAGACACAAAGATTTTTTTTTCCTTGATGTACAACTTTTTGATAATGCTTATTATCTTTATGGCGATTATTAAAGAACAGTCGTATTACAACTTATTCCAAAGTACGCGGGAACCTAAAAAGCTTAAAAAATCATTAAAGCTGATTGTGTCATGGCTTAATTAGCGTATAACATTTAAAAAGTTCCGAGTGCACTCGTTCTTTAATAAACAGCTGTTTATGATGTTTGCAAAAATGCATATGTTAAACTGTTTTCAGACCCAACTCAGATTAGGGCACTGGGTTAAATCGTTTTAGACTTTGTTGTGTGCACAAATACACGCGAATAGTGCTTTTCCCTGACCATTAAACGCTTTATCAAAGCTCAATGCTGGGATTATCTTATCGTTGTTATCAGTGCCAAACAGTGTGGCTGCTGTTATTCGAATAAACGAATATATATATATATATTTAAAATAATAACAATTGTGTGGCACAACACGCACACGCCCACACGACCGGGTAGAAGAGTAGTGCACAATAGAATTGATTACAATCGTTTAATGGCAATTGGTACACCATTCCGTCGCAGCTCACTGAGGCGAGAGCACGTCTAATTGAAAATAATACCCTGTACTATATATATACGCGTCCGAAATGTTGCGGCGATCGTTGCGAAAAAGTCGGAAACACCGGGTCGTCTGGTAGGGAAAGATCTCAGCTCTCAGCTCTTAACAGGGCCTCGGAAACTATCCGATCTAATTTTGTGTGGGTGATTGTGCGCTTTCATCGGGGCAAACAATTAAAGGAAATTAATTTTGAGCGAAATTACTTAAACCTCACCGATCAGTTAAGGCGGCAATGTCTTCTTAACAAGCCAATTGAAAGTTGTCGATAGGACTTCCCATTGACCATCAGGGGCTCCCTTATCGAAGGCGGTGATTAATTGCTGTCGCGGAAACAATAATTGTTCTTTGTCAATTGCTTGGATTAGCCGTTGGACTCCTGAAAATGGTTTATTATGGCCACCATATAAAAACACTTTGATATAACATCAAGTTCCTTGGAAACCGTTTATAAAATTGCAAAGTAACTGTGATAGTTCTTATTGAATGAGCACATTTCTTTTAATTTCAGGGTGAAATAAACGTTAGAGAAGTTATAAAATTTTAGTTTTTAATTTATCTTAATCTATTCGAACTCTTCCACTATTCCTTCCTAAATTTATGCACCAATGAAAGTGAAATTTTAAACGTTTCAACCTATTTAGCTTAATAAAGAAAATGAAACCTTTATCAACATAAAATAATGAATTATATGGTCGGTTATAAAGTGTGTGCAATTGAAGTGGAGCCACCTGTTGTGGATTCTTTATCTGATTTACTTGGAACTAATTTCTTTAATGAATTGCAATCTAGTTGCTATGATTTATTAACATTTCAAGTAGACTAATATATCTGGTAAATAGATCATTGGTTTTTATTATGTGATGGTTCTAGATCGGCTTTCTTTGGATACAACCTTTGTTATCCTTACCTTATCCAATAGCAATAAAACTCGGGGTAATATCTTTCAATGAAACCATTGATCTAAGTCGATGATCGCAAATAGTTTCGAATTTCACCTCAATTGTTGTGGGAAAAAGTTAAATAGTTTAAGCCTGTCTAGTTAAGTGAAGTGAAGAACTTAATAGAAGCATATCCCGAATTCCCTTTCCGTTGTTTTTAATGACCCCAAGTATTTTGTTGGATAATTAAGGTTTATTTAGTTGCTCCTGTTGTTCCGCCGTCTTGGGCATGTGTTTTCATTTGGCATTTGTTCTTTTGATTTGTTTATATATGCATTTTATTGTAGGATTAAAGATAGTGATATATACAACCCAACAACATCAAGTGTAACCATAACCGCTACGACTGCCGAAAGTTCGCGCAGTAGTAGGCCCCCTGCCAATGCCAACATGATACCCGAGACCACCCAGCCCGAACAGCTCCAGTCACAGTCACAGATACAGACACAATCCCAGCTCCAGTCACAGCTCCAGTCACAGCTTCAGTCACAGTCACAATCGCCGTCACAGTGCCAGCAGACGGAGGATAATCCAGAGAATCCCCAGCAGCAATCGCAGCCGGAGGAGGAGGAGGAGCAGGCGGAGCCGGTAGCTGGTAGCAATGGTGGCGACAGGTAGGTGGGATCAGTGCTCCGGAAACTCTCCAGCAAGGCCTTGGTCCAATTCCGTAAGAGAATTCATTATTCCTTCCAAATTTGCATGCCTAGTTCAAGAGTTTTTCCATTTAATCGAATTAGCTGTAGTCGGGGCTATCCAGTTGACTCGAATATTAATATTTTTCGAACTTACCATTGCAGGCGCGATTCGATCACCGAGGAGATCACGATCACTAGCACCACAAACAGTAGTTTGAGCAACAAACTCTTGACTATACAGGAAGCTGCCGGCAGTCTTGAGCAGAGCAGCATCTCCATATCGACGTCCTCCAAACAGAACGCTTCCACAACAGTTGGCGGCGTTTCGCCACCAGCCGGAGCTCCAGGTGCCAATGAGTCCACCGGCAGCAACCTTAGTTTAAACCAGGCCGCCACTTCCACTAGTCCTGGCTGCAGCAATCCAGTTGCGCCAGGGGCCACGCCCAGCATAAATATTGTGTCCGGCGAGACCAGTCGGGATCAGTCGGGAACACAGCAGTCGCAGAGCGTCGACTCCAACGGATATACTGCTCCTGGCAGCTGCGGCACGGAAAGTCCCGCCAGCCGAAAGAACTCCACCGGCTCCAAGGGCAAGGCCAGCCAGGCGAAGCTATCCACATCCAGCAGCGGACGCGATGAGGTGAGTTGAGGAGGGCCAGTGGACTAAATTAAACGGCCATTTAATGGGTGACTCATAAAATATCAACTATTATCGTTTACTTAAAAAAAAAAAGATTAATCAGATACTTATCACTATACATTTACAACAAACGTTTGAGTGATGTGTCATAAATAGACCTTTAGGTGATGCGGTGATTCGATGTCTCATTTAAAAATCACAATTCAATTATAAGAGTCGTATTATTTATAGAGCATATCGTTTTAGGTTTGGCGATATAGACAACAATGTTTTTTGAGTAACGACATATATTTGTGACCTGTGAGCATGATAATTTGAAAGAAAGTTTAGCCAATGACATTAGTTATCAAATCAATGAATTCCTTAGACCTATTACGATATATTTTAAGGGATTGTGCTTTAAATTTACATATTCCTGATGGAATGTATAAATTCAAATAATCACGTCACTATATATGTATGTAGGTAATTAAATTGCTTTTCGCCATAAACCTCACTTTTATGGGTACAAAAATTAAGTGCCTCAGACAGTTCAATCCAAGAAAGGAGTGACTTCTGTGCCTTGAAATAAATATTTATAATTTTAAAATTGATAAGACATTGAAAGCGTTCTTTCAATACAATTTTAGGGGTAAGCCAATTTAAATATAGTTTTTCAAGTGGCCAGACAGTAAAAGAGTGTTTTTTTAAATTTAAATGTTAAATGTTCAAATTGATAACCTGAAAAGAACCCTAGATTGTATGTTTTTACGGTGAACTAATTGCTAACGTTGATCACTGCTCGTAAAATGCAAAGTTTCGAAGATGGTTTCTTCGCCGAAACATTTCCAAGTTCAAACGAATAAATTTCCAACCCGATTTCATGGCTGTCTGATTAGGAAGGGCTTGTCAAAAAAAACACAACTATTTCCGATTACATTTGAATTCTGTGGAAAAGCTTGGGCAAGCTTTTAAAAAACTCACAGTCTGTTGATTCTAACCATTAGCCGCAACACACACCCCGAAAGAGGTGTGAAATTGCCGCAGCTAAGTGTTCAAATCAAATTAAATACACTCGAAGGGGGCGATCAATCGATCAGGCGATTGACAGATTGAAAGCTGAGTAGATAGATAGGTGGCTGGCCGACAGATAGACATGGGCCATTGGGATTAATGGTCGCATATTGGCCACATCTAACGGCCCGATCTAATCTCTCTGGCTGATAAGGAGCATATATAGTTACCCTCTCACCCTTCGTGGGGCACCTGATTAGAGTCACCCTTCGCTGCAAAAGCTCGTGGCATAAATTTATTCGGTCCCAAGCTTTTTCTGGTCATCCAACAGTGATAACGTTTCGTGTGTGGTGCGAAGTGGAGCTCCTCCATTGACGTTCGCCCGGCTGGCAATGGCACATTAGATTTCGATGAGCGACAAACCGTCTCACCAATTGCGAATACCAAAAAATAGAAAAAAAAAAAAATACAAACTAATATCGAACATTGCAGCGAACTTTGTGTAAATAATTGGTGGTCGTAAACGAACGACAAGCGGGTGGTGTGATAAGAAGTAAAACCAAACACCTGGTCGCAGAGACGTTCCTACAAAGAGGCGTGAATCACCCGAAAAAAAGAGAGTTAACAAACACATTGCTGGTACGGAACAGGTGGCCAAAAAAGTCATAGGCAAAACGATATCGAACTACTGCTGCTGCTGCTGGCACCACCAGCCCCGAATTCAGAGCTAAAATGTTTGTTCACGCCACCGCCGCAGACTGCTATAAATGGAAATCCTCATGGTGTTTGATCAACTCTCCCTCTCGCTTGTCTCCCAGCAGGACATCTCGCACCACCGGCTGAGCGATCTCACCCCGCACGAGCTGAGTCTGCTGCGCGTCGACCGGGAGCAACAGGTGACCAGCAGCAGCTCCACATCCAACGAGAAGCCGGCCAAGCCGTCGCGGCTCTCGGAGCGGGCCAAGAAGAAGTCCTGGTACAACGTCATCTATCCCAACTACAAGTCGCGGGCCGAGGACTTCAAGAAGCTCTTCAAGGACGTGCCCAACGATGAGCGCCTGATTGTGGGTGAGTCTCTTGGGGCGAGCAAATATGACTGCGCACTTGTCACATGAAGATTCAGTCCGATAAAGTTAACCATATTAGTGAGTTACTTAATGGGTAAACTTTGCATAAGCGTAAAAATTTTATAAATATATATAGTTTGTTTGTTTCTGACAAATCTTAAAAACCTGTCACGTAGGAAAATAACTTTAGTTCACTGCACAATTCAGGCAATAATAAGCAATAACATTTTCTCAAATATTAATAACAACTAAATTTGGATCTATATAATGTACGACTTGGTGATGAAAGAAGGTTCATAAATAAAGTAAACATAAAAAATGTAAAGAACAATTAGATAATTTTTAGAATCAGACCCGAAGTAATTCAAACTATATTCCTTCTTTAAGTTGAATCTGTAAATCCAGTAGTTGACACATTCCATCAGATAAATGAACTATGAAGTGCGATCATTAATTAATGCCGACTGATGCGATAAACCCTAATTGAAGCAATTTACTCAAGTGATTATCTTCATCCGCAGACTACTCGTGTGCCCTGCAACGCGACATTCTGGTCCAGGGCCGTCTGTATGTGTCACAGAACTACGTCTGCTTCCATGCGAACATCTTCAGCTGGGAGACCTACGTGAGCATCAAGTGGAAGGATGTGACGGCCATAGCCAAGGAGAAGACAGCCCTCGTGATACCCAATGCCATTTCGATAAGCAGCGGCAAGGACAAGTACTTCTTTGCCACGTTCACCTCGCGCGACAAGAGCTTCTTGATGCTCTTTCGCGTCTGGCAGAACACGCTGATGAACAAGCAGTTCTCGCCGCAGGAGATTTGGAAGCATGTGCACACCTGCTACGGTGAGGAGCTGGGCCTGACCACCGACGACGAGGACTACATCGATCCCACGCTGGACAACGACAACGAGACGGACTTTGACTTCCAGACGGCCATCGATGAGGATAGCCAGTCGCAGCGCCAGTCGCAGCAGTCCAACCAGTCCAACCAGTCCACCCAGTCGAATCCCCAGCTGCCCCAGAGCGGCAACAGCAGCGCCAGCAGCGGCGGCGGAATCCGAGCCTCTGCTCCACGCAAGTCCAAGACGAAATACTTCTTCAACTCCTCCAAATCCTCGGCCAACGCTTCGGCCAGCGGATCGGATAACAACAAGACCCGTGAGAGCTCGCGCAAGCTGAACAAGAAGATGAAGCAGAATGCCAAGGAGCTGATCCTCAGCTCCGTGAAGCCCACGGAACTTTCGGTGAGCGTCACCATGGGCGCTCCCAATGCCAGCAGCAGCAGCACTGCCGGCTCCACCACGGCTTCCTCCTCCACCATAGCCAACCTCACGGGCTCTGGCTCCGGATCGGGATCGCTATCCGGTTCGAATACGGCCGCAGCTAGTGGTAGTGGCAGTGAAAAGAAGATCGCTGAGAAGAGGATCAGCACGGCTTCGAACTCGGCTGCCATTGCAGCAGCGGCACCCTCTGCATCCATGGCCACTGCCACCTCATCCGGGGCTCCAGCCACGGAATCCAAGCTGGAGACCAAACGCAAATTGGGAAAACTTCATCGCCAACGTGAGGATGGCAAAAATGCCGTCGAGAGTGTGCCCACAGATGTTTCTGACTCCTCTGATTCCGAAGAAAACAATTTACCGTAAGTAATACTGATTTAAAAACAGAATTTTTGAATTTATAGAGCAGAAAAAGCTAGACATTTATTATAGGGAAAAGCCTTACAAAAATTTGTTAGCCCTTATTTGTTTTTTATTTTTAAGAAATTTAACAACTGACTTTTTTGAAGGCATAAAATATGGAGAAATAAATAAACAGAACGTATAAAAAAATCAATTTACGTAGAAAGGGCTAGCCATGGTAATATTTATAGAAGTGTCCATTTTACGGTGCTATGAATTTTCCATTAATTATGATAATATATCATCAGAAAATCTTTAAAACTATTTCCATTCCATCTCCTCTTCAGATTTGTGCCCACTACAGAGTGCACCTCGACGCATGAGGGTCGCCAGATCGTCCACACCATTCTGCCCATCAATGTGGACACCTTATTCAATATGCTGTTCAGCAAGTCGAAATTCATAACTGACTTCCATGCGATGCGCAAGTCGACGGATCTGGTATTGGGCGAATGGACCAGGAACGAGGAGGGTCTCCTAGGGCGCACCGTCAACGTAACCGTTCAATTGGCCGCCTCTGTGGGACCCAAGACATCAAAGGTGAGTGTGCAGCGGTCCTCCAAATAGAAATAGAAACGAACGAATAAACTTATTGTCAAATGCATATATTGATTGCCCCTTTAGGTAACCGAGTATCAGGTGCAGCGGGAGTGCAGCAAGCCGGGCGAACTGTATTCCATAGACGTAAATAGCATTAATGCAGGCATTCCATATGCGGACAGTTTCAGTGTGCTCATACACTTCTGCCTGGCCAGGTGAGTCATCAATCATGGAGCGCACTGGTGTCACTTTGTGATCTTTCCTTTTGAACTTTTCTAATTTGTCGGTTTGCATTGGCTTTCCAGAACTGTCGATGATCACACCATGCTGTCGATTCACACCCAGATCAAGTACAAGAAGTCGATCTGGGGCGTGGTCAAGGGCTTCATCGAGAAGAATACGTGGGCAGGAGTGGAGGACTTCTTTGGCGCCCAATTGCATGCCCTCCAGAGCGAGACCTGCATTCCACCGGCCAAGGGAAAGGGACGCAGACCGAGGAGAGGTAAGCATCGCAACCCAGGCCACTGTAACCAATTAACTACAATGCAACAACCACAACAACAAGAACAACAAATACAGCAACAAAGCAAAGCAATTTCTCTCTAATCTTGTAATGGAATTAATACTAAATCAGAGTTCGAAATTCGATAACTGTCAATGCCAATTGCCATTGCTTCTCCTAACCACAATCAAAAACGCACGCATGTCCACAACTAAACATCAAACAACATGTAAAAAAAACCAAAAAACGAAAAGCATCAACCAGCTACAACCAACATACATCTCAGGCATGAATCAGCAATCCGTCACCGCCACCGCCACCCCCATATCGACATCCACCGCAATGGGTGCCATCCAGCACACAGCAACCACTACGGACAATGACAGCATCCAAGAGTCAGCCAAGCGCCATCTTCAGCAGAACGAGCACCATCAGCACCAGCACCTGCACATGCACCATCATCATCACCATCACCACGGTAGCCAGCATCATCACCAGCATCACCACGATCCCAGGCACTCGCTATCCCATCACCATCATCATCCGCATCAGCATCAGCATCCGCATCCTCATTGGCATCAGCGTAAGGCTATACTTCCGTCGAGCAGAGGTACAGCTTGAGAACAGAAGTTTCTATTTAGCCCAGCAATTGGCACAGGGGAATTTGGCTAATTAAAATTCCAAGGGGCAATGTTTTATGTTTTTTGTCATAAAAATTGTGAACTCAAAATATTGCTTATATTTATAAACATTTTTTTGGGCTCATCAATCTGAGCTTTTTACTTGACTAGAAGTTTTAAATGTTTCAGCTTATTAGTAAAAGATATTATCTAACAAGCAAATGCAGATAAGACAAAATTGTCTCTTGTGAGAAAAGAGTCTCAATTGAAGCGGAAATCTAATTTTTGGCATCTAAATATTTTGAAAGTTAAGCTTTTAAAGGAATTATATCTTTTACCTTGGCCCTTATATTTTTATAAGAAAAGGCTTTAGTAAAAAACAATGTTTCCTTAAAGATATTTTAACTGAAAGAACGTTTTTGTGGGGGGTTTTGCTATATGAGTTGAATTTAATAGTTATCAATTGCCAAAGATTTATTACCTATAGTTGATATGACCAAGTTGGCGATCATAAATGACTTTACGAATTTAACCTATTTTTTTGGAATGCTTCCCTTTGTTAATCTAATTTTTTCCATTTGTAATGATTACTTTTAACTGCTTTATCAATCTACGATAAGAATTCGTCATGTTTTTGAACTGTGGAATCATAAATTTGACCAGTTGCTTTCATGTGTTTGATAATTGATTCGAAAAGCTTCATCTTCTACGTATACTTAATAGTGAATTTTTTATAAATAAATACAATGGCGATCAATAAATTATTCGCCCGAATTTTTTATCCTGGAAAACTTTCATCTTTCAATAAATGTTTATCTACTGGTAATGCTAACTTTTTTTCGCTTTGCCAAGCCTTGAACGTTTTTTCTAACCTTAAAGCCTCTTGTGACAATTGCTAGCGCATCATGAACATAACCCACATGCTTTTTTATTGCAGTTTGAGTTCTTTATTAGTTATCGACATATTTGGTTGTACTCTTAATGTTGTGATTATGTTGCCAGCACCGATTCTTGCTTATGTTTATTTTGATTTTTGAGTTCGAACAGTTTGATTTCTAACCGTGTCATTTGCCATTCCTCTCGACGCTCGTCCCCGTTTCTCCGCAGGTACCGCCTCCCAAATCCGCCCCCTGGAGGAGCCAGTTGGCCCGCTCCCGACCGGAGATCCCCTGGAGGCCCAGATGCTGGCCACGGGTGTCGTCGCTGGTGCGGCAGTCGGCGCCTCCGCCGGTCATCCGCTGCTGCTCGAGGGCGGCAAGAAGCAGCAGCAGCAGCAGCAGCTCCACCACCACCATCAGCACCACCTGCAGCCGCACAAGCACCACAAACAGCAGCAGCAGTTGCACCTGGGCGGTGGCGACGACCAAACACTGGCGACGGGACAGGGGCCACAGGGTCACAGATTCAGACACAAGGGCTTGTGGTTGTTGGTTATACTGTTGCTATGCTTGATGCTGGCTCTAAATGTGATATTATTACTTAAGCTCTGGAAGCTGGAGGAACGGATTGACGTGGATCTCAACCGGCGGGCCCGCCTGCCCAGTTTGGCGGCCTTGAGGTGAGTTCTATATAATCTAAAGCAATATATTTTTGTTAATATTTTAATGAACCCCCCCCCATTCAACCCATTTCAGTGAGCTACCGAGCACGAATCAGGAATGGCTCCAAATGCTGCGCGACCAGGAAATGGCGCACGAGAACGAGCTGCACAAGTGGAAACAGGTGCTCCAAACTGCCATCGAACTGCTGAAAAAGGTGAGCATTGTCTGCGAAAAGATCTACAACGATGGCCAGCTGCGTCAGAGCATTGAGTCGATGTCGATGGCGGTGCACACAGAATTCTAAGCATCTCATTAGACGGTGAATAACAGCAGCGAACAGCGGCATCGGCAAAACAACAAGCGACAATTAATTGTAAATCTTTAACACTCACAACCACACACATGTATACACGCAGTGCGTTTCATGATTGCAAGGCAGCTGTAGAGAAGTAAGGATAAAGCCGAAAATTGAATGAATTTGCTAGTTAATATTGAATTAAATTATATTTTCACATGACGTACTTAGTCAGCAGCAATTTTATGATTTTTATGTTGCCTAACAAGATCATATAATAATCGAGTTTGAATGTATACCTTTGCATTTGATGGTCAGGTTTCTTATTGAAATGTAAGAGTGGCGAGTTTTCGAAATAGGATTTAACGACCTGAACGTTTTGAAACGCACTGCACTTGCGGGCATTTGTTACTGATCTCTTAGTTAGCAATACACAAAACCCAAAATTGTTGCATGATTTTTTCCTCTGTGGGAGAAAAGTTTTCTCTGGCACCGACTGAAGAGATAAATGTTGAAAACTCGTATAGTCAAATCCAAGCTTTAACCATTGATTTCCGACATCTATCTCAACCAGAGTTAACATTTCTTTAGAGATAAGTTTTGTATTCCGTAGAACAAACTCAAAGCCAGCACATTTGTTTAAATGCTTTTATGAACTCTAAACGAAATTGTATTGAAAATCCTTTTGGCCTATATGATAAATATATTGGAATATTGAGACCAATTCCTAAGGCACCACACAAACTCACAACCTTTTTTATTTTTGTAAGTAATTTTTTATTTTTTGTAAACGTGGAAAGTACTCATTCACTTTCAGCTAACACTTTTTATGTTTGACTAATATGTATTTTAGTTGCTTCCCTGTAGAACGCTTTTCATGTGGACAATATAAGTTTGCCTTTAACCCGTTTTACTCAAATACTTTTTGTTTTTCAGACTGAAAGAACTTTGGCTGAAATCATTGTACGTTAGCAGTAAAATAGTTTAAACAACATGTTGTGCAAGTAAAATTAATCCAATCCAATTGTCTTCGACAAGCTAGCAAAACACCCAAAGCAATGTCTTGGGCCAAGAGCAAAGTCACCAAAAAAATCTGAAATTGAATTTAAAATTCAACTAAAATTTAGTCACAAACACCCAACACACATAAGTGAAATTGAGGACACAAGCCAATCTGTCATTTATACATTTAACATATTTATGATTATGTCTTAACCGTAAGAAAAGCGCAGTGTAATTTAAAATATAAGTAGCTGCATTTTAGTTAGATTAGAGCAATTGTTTTTGTTTTTGTTTTTACCACGGCATTTACATAAGTGTAGCACCTCTTTGCTTGGCTTTGCTTTAGACAAATGTATCAACAAATTCCTCAAGTATTTCATATCTCACAACATACCAAAAACCGAAACAAATCAAGCGAAAGCGCCCTGAATTTTTGTTTTAGAAAATTCATTTATATATGTGTCGAGCAAGCGCAAAACTGGCATTCTGCAGAGAACATGGTTAATAATAAACTATAATATAGTTGCCAATCTTTGGCTAGGGGAAATTTGATAAAAAACGATTATACAAAATATTTATTGTGTACAATATTTTTGTAAAACCAATCGAAACAATTGTGAGCAATGTTTTCGTTCGTTTTGTATAACGCCTCCTAACTCTTTACCCAAACCAATTTTTTGCCCGTTTACAGACGATACCGATACCAATACAAAATTAAAAACGAAAACTTCAAACTATTCAATTGAAAGCGAAAGGCAAGAATAAAACCAATAATTGCATACTCTATACACACTATATATATGTACCATATGTATGGCCAAGTATTGTTAGTCAGTAGTAGTTGCATTTTAAATTAACAGAGCAAAGATAAACAAAGTAAAAGCTAAAGGAAAAACAAGAACTTGTGCGAATTAAATGGAAACAGAAATTAATACAGAATACTTAAGAGAATACATTTAGTTTTATGCTATGAAAATTTAAACGTTGGCTAAACCCACACTCAAAACAAAATCTTGTCAAACTATTTTGGGCCTTCGCAAAATTGGCTTAAAATTTGTGTCACAAGTTAGGCTTAATAAACAGAACATACAAGAATAAGAAACCAAATGTTAAGCCGCAGTAATAAAAATTCTAATTTATTATAAAAACAAATAAATAAAAATAAAAAAAAAATAATTATTTGACTAAGATCATTTTTAAATCCAAAGCAACACACTCTGGAGCCATTATCTTTATATTTATTTTAAATTTAGTTTGCATTAATGTTATTTTATTCATCTGTATACATTAGATATAACCACAGATGTACAATTTTGATCGCGTTCATGTGATATTTAGTGCGGTCCATCACATGAGAGATCACTGTGTTAAATCTTTTGATTACTAAGCGGAAATTTAAGTATTGGCAATGGAACCAGAACTACGTTCCATATGCATAGTTGCCGAAGATCTTTTGTTTTTAGACTCGCCAGCGATTAGTGTGCGATTCTGTTGCCTTTCTGGAGGTATCTAGCTTGGAGCTTTGCATTTGTAGACGGGTCTTCTTCTCCGAAGTCTTCGACGCTTTCATCTTTGGTGTTTTGGTCCGCGGCGGCTCGACGTTCGGGACAAATTCTTCCTTCCTTGGAGAAAGTGGCATGCGTTTGATCCGAGAGGAGTTCGGTTTGGCCAGCTTCTGTTTGCCGGAAAGTGTTTGTTGGGCCGCCATCTTCCTCCGTCGACTGCTGAGTACCAGCTTCGTCTTGCTCGACTTGCGGTCACTCAATTCGGGCTGGGTCCTGACACGTCCCTTGGCAATCTTCTCGACTAGTCTTTTGATCACTTCCTTCTCCGACGGCGGCTGAACCAGCAAGGAAGTCGGCTTTTTGGTCAGATGGGCAGCTGTGATTGCGTTTGCCGGTCGAGGAGACTCGCATTCGCGCGTATATATCTTGATGGACTTGGATTTGATGGGTGGCTTATTGACTTCAGCGACTGAACGGTCTTCTTTGATTCTGCGCGTCATTGTATTTGCAGCCTTGACAGCTTCCTTCTCTTCTAATTCACGGCGCAGCCTAATATGACGCTCCACCATCATGTCGTAGATGGAGACTATAGACGTGTTCAGCGTGGAGGACATCATGTTTAAAATAGTAGTAAAGATTGCAAAATGTGAAATACTTTTTAAAATATTTTTGAGATAAATGTGTAATGGAAATGTGTGTGGCTAAACGGGAAGCGTTTGCTATACTGTTTGATGTGGGTTATGGTTGGAAATGATTTCTCGTTGAACATTTGATCGGCAAAATAGGTAAGGGTACTTTGTTTTATATGCTATTGGTTTTCTATTCTATGTTGCTGGAGAAATATATATATACTTTAAATATTTTAAACTGAAACTTATTGAATTTTCCTGGATTTTCAGGACTATGAAAAGCCGTTTTTACATGATTTTTGACATCAATGTTTTTATGTGCATACTTTTAGGCATGTGTTGTTAAAACCATAGTTGACCAACCGACATCGCTTCATAGGTAAATAACATTTCTATCATACAGTATTTTCTTTAAGAGTACGGATGAATTTATTTAACCTTTTTTTTTTTTGCTGAGTTTAATGATTAGACACTTTTTTCCAGCAAGGTCGCGGAGACCTTCAACAGACGTAGTCTAACAGGAAATCGGCTATAAAGGACTTTGACCCAATTTCGATTACTCTCTTATATTTCCAAACTCGATAAAGTTCAAAAGCCTAGAAGAAATTCACATGACGCCGAATGACTAAGATCACCGACTTTGTGTCGCTTCTTTTGTTGCATTACAGCTCTCCCCTAGGCTATATAAACAAATGGCAACCTGACTGACTGATAAGAGTTCAAGTTCATTAAACCGCATAAAAATCAGGAACAATTTTTTAAATACGGAATGCGTTTTAACTGTAAGAGAATAGGTACACTCATAAGTAAGTACTTTTGGTAAATTATTTTAAATCATTATTTTTCATTCGCTAGGCTTAACTTTAAGATGTTCTTTGTTCCTTAAATTTAGGTCATTTTACTTTATTATGAGTTCTCTGGGAGTATCTACTGATTCTCCAATCTTATTTCATATTGGTTCTTAATAATCTTAAATATTCCTTAATTAAGCTGACTTGATAAATAAATGTGCACCAAAGCATGTACGTATGAGAAGTTTAAGGAAATAAGCTCTTTAAAAATTTCCTATTGTAATGCACACAGCTGTAAGCCAAATTTTTCACTGAGAAACTAAATTAATAAAACTTTTGGCAAAAATAAGAAAAAATCAAAAATTGGAATAGCAACCAGCAATTTGCTTAATAAAATTTGTCTAGAAACTCAATATTTGTTGTACGCTCACACAGACTGAAAAAGAAAAAGCGGGGACAGCACGCACTTACGCACTCCAAAAAGAGCAAAAATGTGAAAAAAGAAAGAAATTATGAATCTTATCAGTAGGAGAACAAAGAATAAAAACAAAGTACAGTAAAAACCGAAACTCGGCAGAGAACAAAAACAAAAAGAAAGCTGTCAGAAACCGAGAGCAACAACAAACTGCTGTGTTATTTTTCAAGGTTAAGAGCAAGTGCGTGTGCGTGAATTTGTATTAGTGTATATGTGTCTCGCACATTTTGCACATTGTGCGTACAAATAAAAAACCAACAACAACGCGACCACCAACACAGCAACAGGAAAAAAATATTTTTTATAGAGAGTCAAGAGATACGCAGCAAAAACAAAAAAAAAGAGCGACAACTGCAACAACAAAACCGGCAACTTGGCGACTTTTATTCGGTTTAAGTTTATGGCAGCTAATAAACTTAATAATTTTCCAACGAACTGAAAAATCATCATTATTTAGACCTTATATTCAATTGTGCGTTATTTTCCATCTGATTTGGTCAACGACACAGCAGCTTCTTATAGTATTTTATTATTTTATTACCGTACCAAGTTCTAATTGTAATCCCTTTTTCTCTCTGTCTCTCATTCTGCTTTCTCACCCACATATGCATATACATTCACGCATGTATCCGCGCATTGCACACATTCACACACTGTACGTATACGCATTTAAATTGCGTATACGTAGCGGTTACCCTCAGCGAGTTTAATGACTGATAAGATTCGAAAGCTGAAGAAACAGAATCAAAAAGGAAATTATAACGTGAACGGGATTACTCTTAAGGCTTTAATTAGTTTAAAGCCCATTTGTTTTTCAATGTTTTTTGGTTAATTTTAAATTTAAAAAAACATTGTCTGTTAAATAAAGTTTATATGGTTAAAATTTCACGTTTGAGCCCACCATATTTTTTTTATCAAACTAACAACAACCAGAATTAAAATTCTACATTACGCACTAACAAATTAGTCAAACGATTTGGCTTTGCGCTACACATAAAATTGCCAAAAAGCCGTTCGCTACTCTAAAAACGTCTTCAAACTTGTTAAATGACTTCTCGGTTGCCAATCAAGACCTTAAATTTATATTTCCAAGTCGAAATTCGAGACCAGCAACTCGCCAACTTTTTTTTAGATTTATTAACAAGTGTTATCAGAGCGGCTGTGGCTGATAACATGGCCTTAACACTAATTGTTGAGAGAAACAGGTGAAATGATCTTGCTGTAAGCCAATAACATTTGTAATTCAATGTTAGCGAAGATAACTTAACATTCATGTAATATAAAGAGAGAGAGAGAGAGCAAAAAGAAGCTGCGGAGAGAGCACACTAAAAAAAATTAGATAATGTTTTTGACACAAATTTTATTATTTTAATTTGTAAATTTCCTTTTTTTTTTATTTTAAATATAATTAATTTTATTTATTACTCATTATTTACAGCTATGTATCAAGAAATCGTACTATCAGCCCTTTTTGTACTTTTACGCAAAATGCTGAAGGCATGTGAAATTTACACAACCTCTACCCTAAAGCTGATGAAAAATAAACAAATATATAAGTTGAGGTAAAAGAAGAAAAAAACAAGGAAAAATGTCCCCTAGCATTTTTTCCAAAATATAACAATTTTTGCAACAAAAACGTCCTCTCAACTTTTGCCCCTGAGCCAATTAAAAGAATATTGTTGGAAAAGCTCTTTAATAGATAATTTTAGGAAACACAAATTTTTGAACTATTAATAATATAAAAACAATTTTATTTAAGGTTGACATATTTTTTTTGTTAAATTGTTTTTGGTGCAATCGGCACACGCACGTGCGGATCGTAGGCGTTGAGAGCGGGAGAGGAAGAGCGCGAACGAGCGAGAGAGAATGAGAATGAATGTCATTCATGGGGGCAGCGACGCCGGCAGAAGCAGCGGTGTTTGGAGCGGTTTTGCGATCAGTTCGAGATCGAAATCGGGCGCCGTTGGATGTTTTTTTCAATGCTCAAGCGCGCCGTGTATGGATTGCCTATAGCAGAATCTATAGCTCTCTGGTTTTCGTCGTGTTCTTCCATCGTTTTACGTTTCTACGTGTTTCTCCATTCGTTCAATCTGTCCGTCTTTTCGGTTCGGCTTTACACAAAAATCCCCCTGTTACTCCCCCACTCCCAAAAAAAAAGTTAACTCGTGTGTTATCAAATATGTTTACAAGAATCCTACATATGTTTAATGAATAAAACAAAAAAATAATAAATTTGAGTTGCAAAAAAAGTGCTGACGATTTTAAATATCATATTCGAAAAGGAAACGAAGAATTTTAATACGTTCCGCCGCTTTTTGGGTGCGTTGTTTTGGTTGCTTGCTTTTACTTTATATTTTGTTCAAATACATTGAAGTTACACAAAATGAAATCTGACGTTTTGCTCTGGTGCTTTGTTTCGCGCGGGCTAATTGACAAATATAACAAAATTCGCTATGTGACTTGCCTTCGATTTGTCTCGCTGATTCTCCCTGAATCTCCCCGATTCCGTTTCATTATCTTTTTCTGTTTCGGCGGCAGTGCATAAAGGAAATTGTTGGAAAATTTGCCAAGTCAAAAAGCCAAAAGGAATAAACAATTTTGAGCAGACGCCGCAAAGTCTTGGGAAACATTTTTAAAGTTTGAATAAATTGGAATAATATAATTGGAAAATATATTGAGTGGAGCTTAATTTGAAGTGAAATAATTGGTGCGATATTATGATCATCTGTCGGACAGACGGTTTTAGTAAAACAAATGTAAAGAGTCAATTATTACTTCGTCTAGGGCAAAATCATCTGAAATCAATTTAACAGTTTCATAGATAGGCTTTTTTTATTTAATTTCCTTTAAATTTATATATCTACTGGCAATCGTATTAATTATCCCTCTACTCTTTTCTGTTTTTATTGTATTACAGTCTGCCATAAATTCGAGAGGAAAAAAGAAAAAAGGAGCCAGACAAAGCCAGGGAATTATGAAATTTTAAAGAAATCCCCAAAAACCCAAGACCCAACAGCCACGAAATATGTTTAATGCATTAAAATAAAGGAAACGTGTTTAAGGCGAGTGCAGGCACCAGGCGAACAAAAAGTTATATACACACGCGTATATATATACATATTTAAACAAGATTTACATTTAAAATCCACCCAATACACACGTACGTATATTTAAACTGTGGCGGCAACAGCAACAACACCGTGCTAAAGCGTTCACAAAAAGGTGATAATGATTATTTCCAAGGATCTTTTCATATTTGGCGAACAAATTTTTGCAACAATCATACCAGAAGGTGGAGCCGCAGCGCTAGCAACCCAGCAGCAACATCAGCAGCAGCAGCAGCAGCAACAACAGCCGGCAATTATAAATTCAACAGCAACAGCAACAACGACGACGGCTACTTCGTTGGTAATAAACTCGACGGCATCGTCAACAACAGCAGGAGCAGCTGAACAAGTTGTAGAGGAGTCATTAAAAGTAGCAGCAGCAACACCATCAACAACACAAGCAGCAACACTACCAGCTAAACAGGAAACAGTTGCAGTTGCTGCCGCTTGTGTTGCTCCTCGCAAGTTGGCAAAAATTCAAAAAATTCCAAAGGAACCCGAGGAACTGAGAGCCAAGAAAAAGGCAAAGTGTGAAGCAGCAGCAGCAGCAGCAGTAGCAGCAGCAACACCGGCGACTCATTACGAAAAAATGCCAATGAATTTGATGATCGTGG